GTTTTCTCCTTTCTTCGTATCTCCACGCTGGTACGTGGATTTCTCAGCAATTTGTGATTATGTGCTTGTATTTAAAACCTTTGGAGCCAGTACTATCCTTTATTGTATTTTTATTTGTATGGCACCTCAAACAACTGGTTGATCTCAAAATTAGTGCAACCTCCTCTACCAGTTTTGTTGTAAACTTAGCAGTAAATTAGATGGAAGAAACTATTGCAACATGACTTCTCTTTCATTTGACTGATCCTAAAAGAACTGGAAAAAGAACGGGCTGCAAAGCATGAACATTCAGTACAGATTTAAAAGGCTGTTCAGGATCTTCTGAAGTCCACTGAGACTTAATTGCAAAACGCAGTTATTAAATTCAGTCACAACCTTGACAGCATGTTCTTTCATGCACGTCACTGGACAAGTGGCAATGTATATACAGCATTACAAATACTTTCTGGGAAGATTTCCACACAGCTTCCTAAATTTCCAACCTTTGCTCCTGTCTGTAAATAGCTTTTGCAAATGGCTGGGCCAGCCACATGAATTGTGTGAGACCTCTTCCAGTCATCTGAAGTCACAGGAAGAGCAAAGCAGGGACTGCCTATTTAGGAATGCATCCTGGCATTGGGAGCTTTGTGATTCATCTGAACAGTTATGGAAGTTTTCTTGGAACAAATTAAAAACTTCTTCTTGGTGTCCAGGATATTCCATCAGCCCACTTTTTCCTTTCCTTTTCACATGCTCCCTCATTGATGCTGGCCATAGTGCCATAGCTGCCATGCATGCTGTGATAAGCCCTTCAGCACTGGCCTGTAAATCCAGTGACATGATTGTGACACGAAGTAATCGTTCCTTGCTCTGGATTCAGGAAGAATTCCAATTCACCTCATCAAAATGGGAAGCCTTCTGCCAGACAGCACCTTTCACCTTTCTAGAGCATTGATTTTATGATTTAAGGAAGGGGGCACAGAAGACAGGTCTTTGTGAGTTGTCTAAAATATGACAGATATGGATAGCATGCTTCCCTAGGCTTGCCTTTTGGAGGTTTTTATTGGGGTTTTGGTGGGTTTTTTGATCTGGAAGTTTAATCCAGACACAATTTCACAGGTCTGGAGAATTTGCTAGGACTTCTGACCCTCCAGAAGCACAGCAGAGCAGTACCATGTTTCAAAAGAGGGGAATTTGGGACTCCAATAGAATCATAGAATACTTAGGCTTGGAAAGGACCTTAAGATCATCTAGTTCCAAACCCCCTGCCATGGGCAGGGACACCTCGCACTAAACCTTGTCGCCCAAATCTCTGTCCAGCCTGGCTTTGAACACTGCCAGGGATGGAGGACTCACAGCCTCCTTGGGCAACCTATTCCAGAGCCTCACCACCCTAACAGGAAAGAATTTCTTCCTTATATCCAATCTAAACTTCCCCTGGGCAAGTTTGAACCCATTACCCCTTTTCCTACCACTACAGTGCCTAATGAAGAGTCTCTCCCCAGCATCCTTGGTAACTGATAATAATTGAGTCATACTTTACTTGACTGAGCCTTTCAAATTGATTGTCTTTGCTTAAATCTCCTCAATGACCTTTGCAAAAGAATATTCTTAGGTTATTTACTAATGAAAAAGGGCCATACTTGTTCAACAAAAGATCTAACATAAAGAAAGCAGATTAAAAGCTGGCAAGTCCAAGTTAATGAAGGTTAACAAAGTCAAATTACTAATGGGCTGAAGAATTACACGAACATTGCCGTGATATTAAGTACTTCCCCTGAAAGGTCTGACTTTAGTCTCATGATAAACTGGTCACAGAAGGATCAATGCTCTTGTCTTTATTGCAAGTAATATTAAATAACCCCTATTTTTTGAAAAACAAATGACCAGATAATTACCAGGAAAGCATGGGGAACGGGCTGCCAGTGTTGCTTAAGTCTCTTTGTGTTTTCCATTCCTTTTTTACTTCTTTCTCCACACCAGATAAGAAAATGGGACTGGAAGTGGGAGAGTGTTAATTGGTGTAGGAATTGGAGAGGTAACCATGTTCCATGTAATGCCACCTTTGAAGTATTACAATTCTTCATGGCCCCTGCAGAAAGCCATCCATAGATTTGACAGTTCTGAACATAACCAGCATTTTATCAGAAGTTGCAATTAAATGTTTTACACACTTTCTGCCTGCAGCCTCCTGCCCACAGAAGGGGTGCAGATGGGCACTTTTGGAATTTATGAGTAGCTTTTGGAATTTATTTGGTTTCTTTTGGTTTTCAGGTACTTCAAAAGTGAAGCAGCATTTTCAGGATACAGAATCCAGGTTTTCCATTCTTTGTGGGAATAGTGACGCATTTGTTTTCAGAACATCTCCAACTGAAACTGAAGCCAACTTAAGTCTCTACAGTTGGACTTGCATAATATTTCTGTGTTCTTTGCAGGTGTATGAGATATGTTTTTATCCTTTTTAAAGGTTCCTTTCTACATTTAGATGTATGGGGAAGAACAAGCTAGCTTAAGTATTTAATTAAGTTTTAAGGCTTTATGATAAGAAGGAATATTTTGTTTTGATAGTTGCATAAGAATTGATACTGCTTTACAAAAAACAATAAAGAACACAATGTGAATTTTTTTAAATTGATGAAATATCTATTATTTCCCTAAAAAAAAAAAAAAGGCATTTTCATGGTGTATGTACATATGTACTCTCTCTTAATTCCTTTATACTTAAATTCTGAGCCACAGTAAGAAAAGTTGAGAAAACATGATGCCAGAAAAGACTTCTTTGTGATATAAGATCTTCCTGACCTTGGAGCTCACACTGATGATTATTGGCTCAGACTTAAATCATCATTCTAGTGCTTCTAATCAGCATATTTCCATTTGAGTCAGGTAACTAAGAAAAGGACGTCTGCTGTGAATCTGTTTAGACAAGGATCTGCACCTTCATATGATTACTTTCAAGAGATTTACTGATTTTTTAAAACCTGAAAACTACTGATGTGGAGAAAGATACATCTGTAATAACCAGCTATGGCTGATACAAGGAAATGAGCATATACCAGATGCATATAGCTCCTGCCAACACAAATCATATTATATTTTATATGTGTTAATATAAACTTTGTTGCTTCTCAGTTTGTTAGCTTGAAAAGGCATTGGCCTCCTAGTGCCTGAGAATCCACATGAGCAGGCTTGGTTTAGAAGCAGGGATGCTATATAAACTTGGGCTTGGCTGTATTCGGAGAGGTTCACTTTCATGCTGACAGCTCAAACACTCAAATAATCCCTGTTGTCCCTTAGCAATGCTCCTAAACAATCAGATTTGTCAAAATAGTTATAACAATATAGCAAAAGATCCATAATGTAAGAGATCCGTCCTGGTGGCTTGTCCCAAGACCTCTGTGCAGTTCATTCTTCATGCTCAGGCTCATTCCAAGTCTTCTTGCAAGAAAAAAAATAATAAAAAAATAAAAAAAATTACACTGAGTTTTGTACTTTGGCTGCATCAGCTTCTCAGTATGGACTCGCTTGATGTTATACAGTAAGATTTAAAATACAGAAACCTGCTCCAACTGCTGTGACAGCCATTTTCCACAAAAGCAGTGTGGCAAATCTATTTGTGTCTAAAACTAGAAGTAAGCTGTGTTTCAGTCATACTCTTTTGGTTTTGGGGTTGCACTATCAAGACAACTGTAGCCTAGATAAATGTTAATTATAGACAGATTGTTGACAATTAAGTTTTGAAAGTGTGTCTCAAATGGGTTTATCCTTTAGTATGAGAATTTAACAAATCACCTTACGTCAATAAAGCATTTCTCAGTATCTGTCCTGCAACTTCCTGAATAAAAAGAAATAAGGGTATCTTCAGATTCATTCTTTCAAGGCCCCACACTGTCCTCCTCCACTTCTCCCACCTCAATGGCATTAAGTGAAGTATTATCCTTCCTGGACAGGGATTTTATTCATCTTCTAGCTCTTTCTTTGCAGGCATGGGCAAGACTGTAAGTATTTTGCACTAAAACAGTGTTGTTTTCTTTTTGTCAGCTTGTTTGTATAAATAGGTATCTGTTTATTCATGTTTTGCTGTAATTCTTGCTTTGTGAGATACTGGTGCTGGTGTAGACTAATCTGTGAAAAATCTAAATTAATTTTACAAATAGTTTCATTAGAATTGTCTTAATTAGAGCTCGGTAAATGGTGCTTTGCTTCATTGAAGCATATTTTTCCAGAAAAGAATGCATCAATTTACTGAGTGTCATTAGTGCATTGTGTAGTGTAGAGCATGCAAAACATATGTGCCTTCAGTAACACTACGTCTGGAACTGCTTTCAAACTTTGGTTCACAGATCTCAGACATATTGTCACAACCCATTACTTAAACCAACATTGTGTTCTTTCAAAAGTATTTTTCCCCAGTTGAGCCTTGTGATGTTGGCAGTCAGCAGGGGATTACTTTTAAATAATGTTTGAAGTGTCCCCAAGAGCAGAACCAGCTCTGGAAGGGAGAATGACAAGGGAGCCCTGAATGCAGCTCCTCCACCTGTGTGGATGTATGCACATCTAATCATTTTCAGGCTCCAATGATAAATAGAAATGTCATCCCCAAAGAGGCAGACTCCAGTTGTAAGAAATACAGCCACTAAGCAATTTCACAGTTAAGCATATTTTACTTCCTTGGAGTATTAATTGGTTATGTTGCAGGTTAGTGAGAATCACTGTTGAGAAGCCTTATTCCAAAGAAAAAACTTTTTTTCCATAGAGTGGCCATGAATATTCAAGTAGTGAATCTTGATTTGAGTGTGAATTTCCACACATTGATTTTGTCACGTGCAGTGTGGGCACTGTTGCTGGAGTTTCTCTCTGTGGTGTTTCCAGATGACATTCATCAAAGAGTCTGACCTACTGGAACGGAAAGGGATTCTGTGTTTATTTTGTCTTCAAGAGATTGACTCCATTGTAGCAGCGATAACTAATCCAGCTTCATGTCTGTCCCTAAATAAATGCTTTTTTATTATTCTTATCAGGGCCAGCCAGGACTTCTTGGATCTCAGGGGTTCACTGGTCCACCAGGATTGATGGGAATCCCAGGAGTGCAAGGTCCCAAAGGTCACAAGGGTGAAAGAGGACAACCAGGAATAAGTGGACCCAAAGGAGAAATGGTAACTTCTGAATGGCAGATATTTTAGCTAACAAGCAATATACTAGGCAGAGCACCATTTTAATTGTGCTGTTTCATTCTAGGGGCAAAGAGGAGTCACTGGATTCCCCGGGGCAGATGGTGTGCCTGTAAGTAGCTGTTTACCTCATCTTTAAGAAATCACCAAATGCAAATATTGCAAGCTAGTTTAAAGCCTTTGTACTTTAATTGAAATAGCTGGGCTAAGTTCTGCATCAGCCATATACACAGTTTTAAGCTAAGGGCATTTGTTGGACTGGATCTGCAGCTAGACAAGAGCTCAGGATCTGTGCTTCCTCTCATTCCCTCAGATAATTAAGGTCCATTTGCTTTGTCCTATGTAGAAAGCCACTTGCAAAGGGGACAAGAAAGGATGGAAATTTCCTGTGTCCCTGGAGGTTACCCAGCTAAGTATGTTCTTTTGTAGGGAAGAGCTGGGAGATAACTACTTCACATCTCTTAAGCTTGTGAGCAAAGGACATCAGTGGGTCATCCCGTAATTATTTCAGAGTTCAAAAGCACATAGAAAGACCAATGATTTTAAGAATACTAACCATTGCTATTTGTGTTATAGCTCATGTGGCATGCTTGAGATAGTCTTAAAAAAACTTACAGAATACTAAAGAGTGTCAAACTTTGAACAAATTTACCAGGTCCGTGAAGCTGAAACATTCAAAGGGGAAAGCCGGGTAAAGTTCACAGCACAGTATTTTCCCAGCTTACACTTCTTTACATCTTGTGTCATAAAATAACAAAGAAATCTGAGTCACTGGAATCCCTGGACAGAGTTCCCAGGCTTGGGTTTCCTTTGTAGTGCTCCTTGACACCGGGGCCCCACTCTGCAGCCCACGCATCCACATCCACTCTGCTTTCACCCTTGTTTGTTTCCAGAAGAGTTCCCTATTGAGATTCAGGGCTTTCTCTCTCACAATCTTTCTCTTCTCCCTCTTTCTCACTCTCAGAGGAAAAGCAGAGGACTCTCCCATTTTTATTAACACTCCTGAAGCAAAGGATCTTGTTCATCTCACCATGTCACACTGACTTTTTTCTAAGCATCCTCAGGGGGAGAGTAAATCGCTGTGCAGCTCGGTGTGGCTGGACCACTTCTCTTACCTGAGCAAGTTTTCTTTTTCAGCACTGCCTTCCCAACCTCTGCACATTGCGCTGTGAGGAATAAATACCTTCAGACAGTACTTGAACCTGTATGGTCACTATGTCCTGTCCCCAAGCTCCCTTGCCCTTCCCACTAATTTGCATTCACCAAACTCAACCAGTTTTCTCAGGCCGAGACTAACACTGACCATCAGACAGCAGGTAGATATAGGTACAGGTATGAACTGTAATGACATGGTGTTAGGGTGTGAGGCTAGAGGCCAAGAGAGGATGGTGGCAAGCCTCAGTGTCTTCTGAGGTGAGGAATGCCAGAACTTGTTAGAGCTACGTAAGGACATGGACAGATTTCCTGTAAGCAAGGGAGCAGAAGCAGAGAAAACTCTTCTTCTATATAGAAGAGAAAGAGAAAAATATCCTATGTTAGTTTCTGGGTTTTCTCACTTGAATCCCTTGGAACAAAGAGCTGATCAAGGGCATACTTGCTTCTCATCAGCCTCAGGGCAAGCCAGAAGCAACAGCGATTAAGGTGAATATAGGTACAGCAATGAAAATCCAGCTTGAGACAGGTGTGGAGGTTCTGCAGTGCACCTCGCTCCCTTGCTTTGAGGCCTGCTGTTTCCTTCCATACTTAAATCCTCATCACAACACTCAAACTAGCTCCAAAAAGCATCTCTGACTGTTTTTTCCTGGCTTGGAAGCTGTTCAAAGTCAGTGAGGAACCTTTCTTCCCACTCTTCCAGTGTGAAGGACTAAAATGCTTAAAAATCCCAGTTCTTAGTGGCTCCCTGTACAGCAGCCTCATCTGGCTTAGCTCTCTTGCTTAACAGAGCCTGCATTGAGCATAGCTTTCTTACCCTTTCTGAAAGGTCCTTCACTACTCATTTTTTCATGCTGTCTGGGGCATCTGGTTCAAGCTGCAGCTATATTAAAAAAAGGCACTGTCTGTTTCTGTCTTTGAAAATCATAGTTTCCCATGGATCCAAGCCTTGGGCTTAATGTGAGAATGTCTAAATACTGTGTGACTACAGGAAAAGGAAAACTAGAAACAGATGGATAGATAAACACTTTTTTTTTTTCCCCTCAACAGGGTCATCCAGGGCAGCCAGGATCAAGGGGGAAACCAGGTCATGATGGCTGTAACGGGACAGTAGGTGACCCTGGTGACTCGGGAACTCCTGGATTCTCTGGTTTCCCTGGTACCATTGTAAGTAGCTGGCAGTAAGGGAGCACCTGAAGGTAAAATCATTGCTGAAGGGAGTTTTAGTCACATGTGTTGGAAGCAAATGGGACATCTCTTAATGGAGCTCCCTTTTGGCCCAGCAGAGCATACATGCGGACTTACCATGGACACACTGGGCTATGCTAAGTTACTGAATTGTAGCCAGGGCTGGGAGGTCTGCCCAGAGCTATATCTGTCATGTAGGTATTGCAGGGAGAATACTTCAGGAAAACCTGTACATCCTTATCCAACAGGGGTAAAATAGTCTTAAACTGACAACTCTTGATGAAAGTAATTTTTTCCTTCCCTGTCCCATAGCCAAAGTACTGGTTTTCCTGGCACGATACATAGATTATGCTGAGGTGAGCAGGGGCTCCTAGATTTACCAGGGCACATGTCAGCCCCTGGGGAGCTGCTGCTGCAGCTTTATCTAGTAGGTGCTACTGTGTAATACCACTCCCAGGTAATGGGGGATTCCTCCCATGGAATCGGAAAGTCACTCTTATGTACTGTGAGGGCTTACACTTTGATTTTAAACCGTGAATTTCCAAAGCTGGGCATAGTCTCCATCTCTAAACAATGGTGTATGTATATACTCATGAAAACCCCAACAGATATTTTTCATTACTCTTAGCTGTTCATGTGTTAACATATATGATCTGAAAGCTTACTTAATTATTATTTTTTTTTCACCTCTAGGGAGTCCAAGGGCCAAAAGGCCAGAAGGGGGAACCCTATATACTGCCACCGGATATCACAAGCAGATACAGGGTATGTCTGTAACTCCTGCGAGTTATTCATGCTCAGTACAGTTTTACAAACAAACAGTGGAAAGTGAATTTTTCTTGCACTCTGACAGACACGACACAAGAGGCACACTTTGATTCTGTGTAGGCTTTGCAAGGCAGCTTCTGCTTTCTGTGGTTACAACAAAGTCTTATCTGATATCCAGGTGGGGGGGGGGCGGGGGGGGGAATGTCCCCTCAGTTATTTGCAAGGAATTCCAGCCTACCGGTGGATTGCAGAGGCACTGGTGTTGTAGTTAAGTGTTGCCCTCTTTATTCAATGACTACCTTTATATCATGCATGGCAAATCACTCTTTTGTCATAATTTTGTCCACAGAATTATTCTGTTTACTGTTACCATCCTTTCTTTATAATTTTCGTGCTGGAGTTTGGTTGACTTAGGATAAAATATACTTCAATATATTATTTAGTTAATTAGTAAACCCAAAGTATTCCTAGGGGTCTAATCCTACTGTATCTAATCGTTACGGTTGTTTTGTAATCACTTGTAGTTTTTTCTCATATATATAGGCTTGTATAATTTGAAGGTATCAGGTAAAGATAATGGGCCATATACAGTGTTAGAGAATAAATTGTGACAAATTGATGTACAAAGCTACATCTGAGCTGTACTCAGCACAGAAGGGATCTGCTAACATCGTTTATGTCTATTTTGTGTCAGTGATGAATGCCAAAATAGGTTTTTCTGTTGATATATTTGTAAGTTGCCCATGTTTTTTAATTAATTCTTTTGCTTTCAGAAACTCTTTACATCTGCAGTTGTTATTAATTAGGAATGATTAAGGAATAATTAAGTAATAATGATTAAGAGTTGCTCAAGTATATTGTGCCCAAGGGTGGATACTGACACCTGTATTCATTTCAGAAAGTATTTGGTTCCACAAATTGTTCTGTTAACTAAATACAAATTAACCAGATAGCTAGGATGCTATTAAAAGTGATTGAAAGCGTCTGGACTAAATGCCGCATTATTTATGGGTATTGGAAGATCTTTGTGCTAGAACAGTTTTGGGTCCAATTTCCAAAAACATTTCAACATGTACTGCAGTTAAAATATGTGGTCACTGAAAACAGTGTGTTCCAAATGCTTTCAGTGACTCAGAATTGAATCAAAACGATTCGGTAATTCCCATGCAACTCATGAAATAGGAAACTGTTCTTGTATTTCAGCTAAGGTTATAGCCCTAATTAAGCCACTGATTAGACAGGATTTTTCAAAATAGAATTAAATGTGGCCTGTTATCCATTTCAGCCTGGTAGTTTAGATCCATACCTTCCTTAGCCAATTTTGTATTCTCCTATTGTATTGCATGCAACTATACATGCAACTATATATGCTCTGTATATAAAGCATAAAACCCATGTGGCCCACATTCAGTTATCTCAGCACCCGAATTGAATGCATCTGTGCGTAAGGGTTTGTGTAGCATTGTATGCTATGGTTAGTTTTTGGAATGAGAAAAAAAATAGTGAGAAATTATTTTTTTTAATTTATTTTTGTATATAGCATTTATCACATTTTTGCTTCTTTGTTTTTTTAGGGGGAACCTGGGGAGCCAGGGTTCAATGGTTTTCCAGTAAGTAGTACTACAGCAAATGTGATAAAGTGTCAACAGTAACTGATACCAGAGCATTAGTTGATGGCTGGGCATTCTTTTTATTTAAAGGGACCTCCAGGTACGCTGGGTATTCAAGGACCTCTTGGTCCAAGAGGAGAGCGAGGAAGACCAGTAAGTATATTTAAAATATCTTCTGGAGAAAATTAAAACCTAACAAAAGAATTATCTCAGCAAGTTCCATTATGTTGGATTGTAACCTACCAAATGGATAGAGAAACAGGTTAAAAGTAGCAGGTAGGTGTCCTTGGAGGCAAAACCTTTTAAAAAGTGTTGTGAGACACTGATTCTACAAGAATGAATATTGCAAAAAGAGAGATAATTTTTCTCACCCCATATTGCCAGAGGCTTTTGATTTATATTGTATTTCTTTAACCTCCTTGAAAGGGTCTTGTTTGTAAAGATTACTCAATGCTATCCAGTCTACATCCCCCACACACTCAGTTATCAAAGATATCAGGACCTAAATATATTATCTTTAGTGATCATAAAGAATATATATTTAGCTTTCCATACTTCCCATAGGAGATTGGATAGATAGATAACAGTCTTCATTAGTATTTAGAATACAGTTTTATTTTTAAACTAGTTATAGTCATTTTCTCCAAAATCAGCATTTACAGATTGATGTTGACTACTCTTGCTGAATAGAGAAGATTGTTTTCTCTCCAGATACCATTTTACCTTTCTTACGACCATGGTTAATAATTTTAGGGGTAAGAAGCAGATGTTCAATATGTTTCATCTTCTTTACACTTGCTTTATTTTCCTGTAAGACAACTTTATAGCATTTGCTTTTTTGTTTATTTTGACAAAATTCACTTCAGACCTGCACATCACTGATTTGAGGGGAGGAAAGGGAACTAATCAGGGCTTTCTACATACAGCCTCCACAGCTGTTGTCAGGCACACCCCCCTCCAAAAAAACATATGTTTCTAGGATTACATCCACAGCATGCTAAACCTTTCCAAAGTTGTTTTCTGCAGTGACCTGTGTTATCGTCTGGTGTAAGCTGCATCTTGTCTTTCTCCTCTGGTCCTCCTGAAGGAGGACCTCCTTGGTCTTTTATTAACTCTTCCTCTAGGGTGAACCCACAGCGTTCATGAGCTCCATACAGGAGCCCAGCCTGCAATAACTCATATTCCCAGTGTGCTGTCTTGGATGTCCGGAGTGCTATAAACCATACATTTTCTGAGGCTCATGATGGCACCCCTCTGGTTGCCATCTTTCAGATACTCTTCCCAAGTAGATGGATGCCCACCATTTCCAGCTTTTAGCAAAATATCTCCAACTATATTTACTGTCTCTAAAGCTGTGACTCACCTGTGAGAGGTGCCCAGTAGATGTGTCAGCAGCTCACAGATTACTTGACTAACCAAAACTAATTAAAAAAGTAATTTTTTCATAATTTTTTTTTGCCTTTCTTACATCTGATGGAGGTTTTAATGTGCAGAGCCGTTTGGAGCCTGCTGCCATAGCTGACTGAAACAAGGCAGGTTGTATCTCCAATTAGAGGCTTTCCTCCAGCTTTTCATGTAAGACTCTGGCAGCTTCTGTTCATGTTATGTTTTCATTTCCCACTATCTTCCTTTGATTTCATTGGGTACAATACCAAATAGGTAATCTGAGATGCATATGTTAGTTCAGCTCCCTTTACAGATGGGTGCTGTACCAGGGCATCAGTCCAGTGAAGCACAGTGAAGTCCAGTGAAGACATGCTTAACTTTAGGTATCAGCTTAAAATGTTACAAGGTCAGGATTCAAAAGCACAAGTTCTTCTTATTTGAAATTAACATGGGATTTCATTAGGTCTAAACTGGGAGACGTGTTACTCTGTTAGGGAAGATCGTGATGTGACTTAGGAGGGTATTTTTAAGAACAGTAAACACAGCTAATATGAAGAGGATAGCACAAAGCTGAGGGATACAGATCAGGAATAAATAAGCTGAGAAGTAAATATTTATATTTTGGACATAAAATAGCTGATGTCCTGCATGCATTGATTAGAAAGTTGACAAGTAACTTGCTTTTCCCTATTGTGTTTCTCCAGGGACCACCAGGGCCCCCAGGACCACAAGGACCACAAGTAAGTCTGTGTCAGAATTTTTTATGTTGATTTTGTGTTGCTGAGGTTTATCCAATACCTACTTGAAAGCAGTAAAATAAAGAACCACAGGCTGCACTAAAGCCTGTGTAGCACAGGACTCTCTGTGTTGGCTGCATACCACAAGAAGTTAATCTTACACTGGGATCGCCTACCCTAAAGAGATTAAGCCACATCTAGAGCCACATTTAATTTGCTACTGTAATTACAGCAGCTTCCCATTAACAGAGAACACTTGCAGTCTTAACAGTATTCAGCTATATCACAAAAGAAAAAAATATGAGTTCATTATTCCAGCCCACTTAGGTGTTTTTATTTAACATTCAGTGCTATTAAAAAACTTGCAAAAGAAATACTTGATCTTTTCACAACATTACTCAGTGAATGACTCTAAGGCTGTTTTATGTAGCACTGGTAGCATGAGATTTTAATTAAAGTTGTCTTTCTGAATGTTTATTTCTAAAAAATACTTTTAATCTATAAAACACCTTGAAAGTGAACCTAGACTATTATTTTACTGCAGTTCAGTGGTGTCCTAAGGACTTGCAAGCCTGAAAAGGCCTTTAAGCATGTTTAAATTTGAATTTTACATTCGAAAACTGAGTCATACGTAAAGTAAATCTTGACTTACTGTTTTTGCAGGGTAACAGGGGCCTTGGATTCTATGGAGAAAAAGGTGAACAGGTAAAGGAAAGCTAATGAATTAGTGTCATTACTAATGGGCAGGTTGCTGTTATTTGCTATTTATAAAGGAACCTATTTTAAATACACTCTTAATTTGCAGTTGTATCATGCAATTATAAGAGAAAAACGGGTATCTTTGAAAGTGATGATAATCTCCGTAAGGAATGTCATAGCTGGACTAAGTTCTACATGTCTTGATCTTGCTTTGCCCTCATTTACACCAACACAGGGAACATTTCTGAAATTTATAAAGCATGACCGCTTTATATAAAACAATAATCTTTACCATCATTCTGGAAACATACAAGGCAAGAGCAAGTATTGCTATGTGTTAATCCCAGCACAAAATAAATTTATCTTGCCATCAATTTATTCAGAGGTTTAGAACCATACAGCTAGGAGGGGCAAATCTGCATTGCTCCTTTTGTTGCAGTTCCTTAGACCATGTGCTGATCAACAGCTTGGCAAGGTATTACAACTGTTAATAAATGTACTCTTATGCTTTTCCTGCAGGGCCCTCCTGGTCCTCCAGGTCCACCTGGGCTTCCTACAAGAGAACTGATGGGTGTCCCCTCTGACAAACACAAGGTAACTACAGGGTATTTTGCCAAAATACACAAGGAACTAAGCTCTGCAGTACCAAAACTGAAATACTGTACAATTGTGCTTTAACATATAGCATGTAGAATACTTTAGTATATCAAAAGAGAAATCTACTACTTTCCCATAGCTTGGATCATGAACTATTTATTGAAATAGTGGTAGCTAAAGTAATTCAGAAAGCACTTTTCACAGACTAGAGGTGCCTTAGGCAAACTTACTATTTTTGTTTAACTATGCGACTAGTGGCCATCACTCACATTTCCTCATTTTACAAGCATCAATACCTGGTGAGAAATCATCTAATATCTTATTTTTCATAATAGTGAGTGACATTTTCTTGCTTTAAAAGAAGCATATATTTAGGGAAGCTATCTGATTTACTGTGTTTGTTTATAGCTTATCTGTGTGATGCAGAGATTTGTATACTTACAATTAAGGCTTATTCATACATATTGGAGAAATTCTCAACAGCAAGATGTATTTTATTCTTATCTATTGCTTCTTGCTGGGAGCAGAGTTTCTCATACCCTGTGTGTGTATGAGAGCCAGACCAGTACTTTTTCATTTCAAATTTGAAGCTAGAAAGTCCATTTGTCTCATGGAATTTCTGCAGTAAGATAAGTAAATTGTTATGACACTGAAAAATCTAAAAATGCTTTTGATGGTCTGCAGTCCGCATTAAGTAATGCATATGTTGGAATTTCCATGACTAAGCAGAAATGTCTGTATATGAGCTACTTCTTAGAGAGCCTTTATATTCAGTGGAGATATCATCAATATAGTGAGCAGACTTTAGGCTATGATTTGTCTGATCCTAACAGGAACTCTTACTTTTGATGAGACAATTAATAGATAATTGTGAGGTAAAAATGGAAGAATATGCATTTATTTATAGGCAATACTCAGGCACTCACCACCCAGACATCTCTTGGATAAGCCTGGGAACCCCCTGAGGTGTTCACATTTTTAGAAAACTTTTCAGAAAAAACATCAAATATTTTTTTTAAGAGCAAATTTTAAAAATTTCTTATGAAAAAAAGCATTTCATATGACAAGTGTATGGATAAAGAACAGGACAGGAGTGGTATTTTTTCACTCTTGATAAACATTTGTCACTTTGTGGTTTAGAAAAGTCACTGAAATGTAAAGGGGAATGCCTAACATATCTGAATACTTTTTCTTTATTGTTAGGGTGAAAGAGGAGACCCTGGACAAAAAGGGGAAGCTGGAATTCCAGTAAGTCAATGGGAGAAGAAGAAAAACAGATAATATTTGAGTTACTGTTGGTGCATTCTTCATTGAAATGATGCAGTATAGATATGGAGCAGCATAAGCAGAGACACCAGTTCTGATGCTTTAGCAAAGCTGAATGACATGTAGTGAACTCCACAGTGCAATCGGTCATTCTGTTAGTGGTTTACCAAAATAAGGTTTTCCCTCAAGTACTTTTTAGCTTTTATGTTTAAAAATTCCACTAAATTTCATTAAACAAGCATATACAGAAATTTTCTCAATCCTTTTCAGTCTACTCTCTACCACATACAGACTTTTGGAATCATTGGTCAATAAGTCTGTTGAGTAAGTGGACAGTAATCCCATGTGTTACTGTATCATTTAGATCTGTCAACCAGGCTTGACTGAATGGTTTAGTTAACTTACTCAGTTAGACTGTAGACTGTCTAAATAGCTTTGCCATTGAATGGTGCCTTTTTACTTCCCAGAGTGGTTTAAAATACAGTCTTTACCAATTAAGGATGCCCCACTGAGCATTTTGCAGAGCTTTATTTTCTCAGATGGTCTGGTCAGCTTCTCCACAAGGCTGTGGGAGAAGGTCACGGTGTGAGCCCTGATGCCCTCTATGTGCAGTTGCTAGCCAGTTCTTCAGCTGTCGGTCAGATTTTACACATGTAGAATTTTGTCAGCTACATTAGCAAAACTGTAGATTTTTATGCTGATGTAGCAGAAGGGAGTATGTGTTTCTTCCTTCTATGTTTGGTGGGGGTTTTTTTATAGAATGGATAGCAGCATGTCGATGTTTGCCAAATAGCTCTCTCAAGCTACAGTTTGGGCATCAGCTGAGTTGCTTGATGAAGTTGTATAGCTGAATAATTGCTTTGGCTCTTCTTCTAGAGTTGCAGCAACAGAAAAAATAAAGAGATGGTAGGAGGGAAACACTGTCTTCTCCCTAATAGCCTGCTCCTGCTGTTGTAATAAAGCAAGCATGTTACACTTAATTTTAAGGACAGCAGTTCTTTCACATTAAGCTATTATTAGATCCTCCATGTGTTACAATGATGTTCTGTTCCTATTTAGCTTCCATAAAACAGTGTTACAATTTTTTTGCACATAATGAAGAAATACATTAAACTAATTTATAATGTTTCCTAGGGTGTACTCCTTCGTGTCCCTGAAAAAGGTGAAGAAGGGGTAATAGGTTTCCCAGGACAAAGGGTGAGTCACTCATTAAAGGTAAAATTCACCCAGATGAATTTGCAAGTTCAAGCTGAGACTTTGCCTTCAGGAGCAAAACACAGATTAACAAACTATAGAAATGATAGTTCTTCAGCCCACCAGGTTGTGGCCACCTGTACCTGATACAGGAAAGCAAAAGGGCCATTTTGAAATTCTAGTGGGAGGAGGCCTCTCTGGGACTCACAGGTATGCCTGTACCATCTTTGGGAAGCCTTGTGCACTTCTTATATGTAAAGCTGCGCTCACTAGCCAGAGCTACTGTGCTGGTCCTCAGCACAGACTCTACTCCACTGTTTCCATCTTAGGTCTATTCAGACCATGGCTAACAAACATGAGTTTGGTTCTGGTTACTTGTGACCCCAGGAAAAAAAAAAAATAGCTTAAATACTACTACCTTGTAGCATCAATGGATGCTTTTGGAGGGGCAGTGTTTCTAAAATACTTAAACAGCATGAAAACAGTACTGAGCACGTATCTGAAAAAAATCTCAGCCATTTTTAAAATCTTCATGGTCAATTTACAATGTATTGATTGAGAGATAAAAATCAAATACCAGATTAGATTTCAGACCTCTTCTGTTTGCACCATACATGAATATTATTGAAAAAGTATCTGAACTCTGACTGTTAGTGTTGGAGTTTCAAGCTGTCAGATTTATTCTATCTCAGGAATAATAATGGTTCTTCACCGTTAGGATGTTAGGATGACACTTTATTATGCTAATTGTATTGTGCCTTCATAGGGACTGCCTGGCATCAATGGTTTTCCAGGACTTGGTGGAGAAAGAGTGAGTATCTCATACCAGACTGTTTTTCTAACACATATGTAGACAATCTGTCTAAAAAGTAAACTGTAGAGGACAACCCCTGCCTGTAATTACACCAGCTGTAGCCTAACAAATATCATCTGGATTCATCCATCATTGTAGTTTTGGGTCAGTTATTTTTCTCATCAGTGAAAAAAAAACATGGCCCTATAATTAAAGTTTGTTTTGAGAGCACAACAGGGAGGTGTCATTTTCATTGTTCCCATTACTGTGACCATGATTTCTGTAATTTTATTCTGACATGCAGAAACTTACTGTTTTGAATAGCAGTTGGGCTTTATGGTTAGACTTAAATATCACAAAAGAAGAAGAGAAAGAAGAAAAGAAAAATGATAAAAGTACCAGATAAATCTCTGTCTCCATGGAAACACACCCAAACATTTAAAATAGCATTCTGTCAGACAGAGAAGAGCTCATATTTTCTGTTTGGTCTCAGAAAAAGGCTGATGGAGGAAATCACTTCCATGAGGTATTTAAATAGCTGTGGTGTACTCAAATGCATGACTTTTCCATGTTTCTCCATACTTAGTTGTGTAAGGATTTGTCCTGCCACCAAGGCATAACAATTATAACATGAAGCACATGGTTCATGAAAGTACATGAAATGTGAAAAATAACAGCTATTTGGTCCAGTCACAAAACCTGTTGGTGTGGAAGGGAATATGCTATCAGTAATACATACGTGGAGAAGCTGATGCAAACCCCATTAAAGCCCATTGAGTGACCTTAACATAGGTTCATGCTCCAGTCAGAAATGGTCAGTGACTTCCCCTTACTGAGGGTGAATCTTGGCAACATTTTTAGCAGAAGATACATTGGTTTTGATGGAGTATCATTGTAAAATAAGAGGGAACAGCCTACTAGATGTGCTGTTCACAACAACCATCTTTTTGTTTCTTTTTGAGTAATTTGATTCTCAAGAAAGAAGGAAGGATGGTTAAGTCTACCTGCGCACAGTTGAAGCTGCATTTAATTAGGAAGTTGCTGGTTTCACTTTAAGACCGCCAGCTCCACCTAGTGTAGAGATTTTACACCGGAGTGAAGAGATTCCTTTTTTCATGGTCTGGTGTACAGTTGCCATTATGGAAAGGACTTTGAAGCATGCAGTTTAGTTTGTGACATAGAACCACAGAATCACAGAATGGTTTGGTTTGGAGAGGACCTCAAGATCATCTTGCTGTCAGCTGTGGTATTATAATGCTTTAAAACTGCATTAAGTGACTTACAGAGTGATTTACTAATGTTCAAGCTCTGTGAAATTTGGGAGATACGGGATTTTAAATAAACCGGTTTATAATCTAACTACTATGAATTATACAAATCTATTGGCTTCAGTAAAACTGTGTTAATTGATATGAGTTGATGATCTGGCCACTGTTTTCTAAGAGCTTACCTTTTAAACACTAGCCTTTTTCCGGAGTACCTATGAACATTTTCTAGAGTCAACAAAAGTTGTCAAAGAGCCAAGTAAGGCACACAGAAGAGATCACCTCTTTTGTATCAACACCACTGAAATCTGCACTTTGCTCTGTGCACCCCAGCAGCTGAAATAGTCTCTCATGTAGGAGGTACTGTGCTTTACTACATGTGTTTTAATTCACGTGCTTTGGATTTCAAGACTTTTAAAAGAATGAAGTGGGCAGGACCTTAAGTATTACAACATTTGCTGAGGTAGGGATGAAAAATTTCCTTTGAGGTACAGCATGCCCAGGGGTGGGAGAATTGGATGAAGGTGTCTCAGGGCTGGTCCTGAGTTCTCATTCAGCCAGGAAATCCCTCTTTGGCCAAACAGGCTCCAGCTGCCTGGAAAAGTAAAAGGGACCTGTGCACTTCAGTGCTGTTTCACTGTTCACTGTTTACATTCCATGTAAAATATGTCCACTCCTAATGATTCAGACTCGTTTAGTCTTCTTGCAGCAGGTTGGTGTGTTCTGGCTGCCTGACCCACGTGTCTCAGGGTCAGCTGGCATGGAAGGGATCCCCCTTTCTGCTCCCCCATCCTGCAGCCTCCATGGAACAGTGTGAATGTAGGTGCTCCTTCCATCTGCACCACTGCCAGGGGTGAAAGAGCCTGTGCCACAGCAGGTCCCTCTGGCCTTTGATGGGAGTTAGGCTTGGTCCAAGACATGTAACATCAAAACAGGAAACTTAATGGTATTACCCATATTACCAGACCACAGGGAGACAAACTGCTCCTCTCTGTTGCATAGTTTTAACACTAACATCAGAGAAAGCAAGTAATTTTATTCCTTCTCTGATAAGGAAAAGTCAATTATTTTTATGTGTATTACAGGGTTTTCCAGGATTTGATGGTCCACCAGGTGGCTATGGTCCTCCAGGAGGCAAGGTACTGCTTTACTTTCATTTGCCAGGAGCAATAAAACAAATGTGATTTTGCTTTCTTTTCTGTCATATAATAAGAATTGAGTTTCTCATCATTGTAGAACCAGTTACGTGGTTAACTTGAAATCTCAGAGATTTCTGAAAGGTCATTTCAGTTTGTTTCTTTGGGTTTCCTGGGCATTTTAAAAGGAATTATCTAGAATAATGTGCTTAGATGTGATACTTCAATTTCTGTTAACAGGGGGAGCCAGGCGACATTGGTCTTCCAGGACCAGATTCCTATCTTCCTTCCCACATCCCAAGGAAAGGTACATCTTCTTTGCTTGGATTGCTTGTTTAGCTCCATTTTACTACCTTCTACATAGATCAAAAGCATGAAATTCTGAGGATTTGACTCCTTAAAAGACTGGTTGGCTGAACTGTTCCAGAAGGTATAATTGCCTTCCAAGAGAGTGCTCTGATCACTGTTCTGCAGGCAGGTGGCTTTTTTGTCTGTCCTGCTGAAGCTGGATTGCTAATCAAAAGGCATCCATGCATTCCTGTGTCCAGAAAGAAGAACAAGCAAAAAAGCCTGACTGTTGTCGAGGGAAAGCAAGAATGAGAGAGTGTCTTCTGTATCCTGTTTCAGAGACTGAATAAAGTGCAGCAATGGCAGTACAGCAGAGACCATTCTTTAATACGTAGAAATAATTTAAAAAAAAAATCAACATTAAAAAATAGAATAGAAGAAGAATAGAAGAGGATTTTTTCCTGACAAATTGATTTTGTGACCTTTTCACTAAATTTGTAGCACCTACTGTCAGCTGTGCCACACAGTCATGGCTGGCCAGACTAGAAACACATAGAAGGTGATAGCAGTTTGCCAAGATGAAAACTATTTCAGGGAGGGTGCCAGCAAACAACAAAGATGATCATAGACCATTGTCCCAGCCTTTCTCCTTATACCATTGAGTTTTCTGATCTTGTTGAAGAAAGCCAGAGAGCCTAACAATGAGTGGTTCCCTTTCTCCCAGTGAATGGGAGCAAGAGGCCCAAAATATTGTTCAAATCAAACACCCTGCCAGGCTTTTAGGAGCAGGAAAGACTGTGTAGGGAGAGGAGGAAACAGGTAAAGGGGCTGACACACCATATGTCCTCTAGTGTCATTGACCTTTGGCAAGAGCATGATACCTCCTACAGGCAATAGGCAGGCCCAGGCAGATGCTTTATCTACTGAGGAACAGAGGAAAGCATAAAGCTCACATATCATAGAGAGATGGTCTTCTGTGCTTCCCAGGAGCAATTTAGCTCTAGCAGAGTATTAGTAAGAGCTGAGAGATGTTCTTCTTCCTGTCACAGGCCATCTTCAGCTCCCAGATATATTTGGGCTTTACAAAAATCTCTCAAATTCATTTCTTTATTCCGCCTAGGCAGCCTGAGGTAGCACATTTTTGCATTTCTGAAACTATCTTTAAGAAACAAGTGCAAACTCTAATATTCTAAAGTCCTTGAATTTCCTAATCTTTACTTTTTAAGAACTGAATAGTTTGCAGTGTGACACAAGTTGGCATTTATGGGTCACAAACAGCATCACACTAACGTGTGGTTTGTGAAACGGCGATGTCTTTCAGGTGTAAGAGGTGACCCAGGCTTTCCAGGTGTTTCTGGACTACAGGGAGACCCAGGAGAAGAGGGAGAGCGTGGGCTGCCTGGTCTTCCTGGATTTTCTGATGGTAATATCCCAGCAACAGATGTTCCAACAGCTTAACTTTATAGTGAATTTCAACTGATACGTTGTCAGGGATGTGGGAAGTTTATGTGTGAACTGTGGATCATGCGTGCAGAGTGGTAGATAACTAACTGCTGGGACAAAAAAACAGAGAAGCATTTTCTTCCAGCCTTGATGGAGCTCTGACAAAACAACTGGAGATGATGATGGAAACTTGCTTCAGTAACTCCTGTAGATTTGTTCAAGTGAAAACTGCAGTTACCATTTTTACTCTGTGCTAAATATCTCCATTTTTTCTTGCATGCTAGATACAGTTGCATGAACTTTCCCTTCTGCTCCATTACAGCTCCTTGAGCACTGTTGTTAAGAAATTGTTTTGAACTTCTTCCCTGCTTCTGTTCCAGCGGATGGGGATAAGCCAGGCTTACCTGGAGAAATGGGACCGAAAGGTGAAAAAGGTGAATCAGGATCTCCTGCTTATCAGGCAGGCCCGCCTGGCTTTCCGGGTAAACATGGCACACCAGGACTCCGTGGTCCACCTGGTCCTGCTGGAGCCCCTGGTAAGTGCATAGAGATGACAGCTTACAGGAACATCTGTGCTTGTTTTAATGAAAGTGGTTGGCAAGCCAAAGTGAGAAAGTAGATGGAGGCAATGAAATGAAAGAAATAGAAATGAAATGAAATGAAATGAAATGAAATGAAATGAAATGAAATGAAATGAAATGAAATGTGTGGCAGGAAGGACGCACAGGGAGAGGTGTTGTGTGCTCTTCAATGAAGGAAAGGTTTCCATCGATTTTAGACATTCCTGGTGAAATTTGAAGGAAAAGGTTTGTTTTGGGCTGGGAGCAAGATATGAATGTCCAGGAGTGTCTGAGAGAGCTGAATTTCTTCTTTTTTTTTATCCTGGAGAAAAGAAAGCTAAGGGGAATCTTACTGCTACTTTCCCCTACTTCTCAGGAGGTCATAGGGAAGATGAAACCAAATGCTTCACTAAGGAAGGCAGCAACAGGGCAAGAAGCAATGGTGATGAGCTGCAACAAAGGAAGTTCTGCTTAGATGTTAGGAAAACCTTTTTCACCATGAGAGTGGTCAGACACTGGAACGGGTTACCCAGAGAGATTGTAGACTCTCCGTCTTAGGAGATACTCAGTACTAAGCTGGACAGGGTCCTGAGCAACTTGCTGCAACTCTGAGCAGAGGATTGGACCAGGTGACCTCCAAAGGCTGCTTCTGACTGAGATTGTGCTGTGAAAAGCACAACACTGCAGTGCAAGAGCAGAAGTAGAGAAAATGATGTGCAAGAGGTGATCCAGTGCAGGCAGCCTGTGGTACTGCAAAGTTAGTTGTGCTGCAAGAGAGAAGCTCAAGGAATTCAAGGTGAGAAAGAGGAAAGAATGGCAAGCATCATCTGCCACTGCAGATGGAAGTAGCTAAGAAAGTGTGTGGGAAGCTGTGAAAAGAGGTAGAGAGGAAGAGAGTAAGGGGTAGATAATAACAGGCTGGGTTAGACAGTAAATTCCATTAGGGAGAACAGAAAAGGGCAGATGCAGTGCAGCTCAAAGGAACAGGAAGGAAAGGGAATAAAAGTAAATCTACAGTAGATCAATTGCTGTTTTTATTTAACTTCTAGGTCCTCTCTTTGGGTTAAAAGGACAGGAGGGGACACCAGGTAGATTTGGCATACAAGGTTTCCCTGGGCCAAGAGGACAAAAAGGACCTAAAGGTAGGTTACAACAGATAACTCAATAGATGTTATGATAACAGGTAACAGATGCTGTTTTAAGCAGCATTGTGTAAAGCTCCCGTTGTATTCAGTCTGAGTTTATAAAGCTATGACATGCTTGTGGACTGGTGAATTTGATCTGCGGCTAACACAAGGAAGCATTATGTTAGCTTCTTGTAACAAAAAACAAACAAACAAAAAAGAGGAAGTATTTCTCTCAAGTATTTCAGAAGCTACTCAAGTATTCTCAAGTCTATATATACAATGGATATAGCTGAACATCCATTTCATGGTGACAGACCATTCTTTCTTCTCTTTCCAATCCTTTCCTTAGGTGAAGAAGGGGATTGCAGTACATGCCTTTTGGACGAGGAAAGGAGAAGGGGCTCTACTGGTCCCCCTGGCCCTCCTGGCTTTCCAGGAACTCCTGGCCAGCCTGGGAGGAAAGGAGAACCTGGTGATCAAGGACCACATGGTATTCCTGGCTACCCTGGAGCAAAAGTGAGATAATTATCACTTTATTGCATTGTTTTATATGCCTACTAGAAAACAAACAAACAAACAAACAAAAACAAAAAACCAAAACAAAAAACCCAAACACACAAAAAAAAAATAATCCAAAACTACGCAAGAAAACACCCCAGGCTATTCTCCATGGAAAAATGCTAACAAGTATGATTTCTTTCTTTCCATGCCACTTCAGTTGCTTTCAGATTGCTATCTACAAAATACTGAAAGCAAGGAATTGCTAGGATGGAAGTCAAAATATGCAGTTTTAGGAAAAGTGAAAGATTTCCACGTAATCCAAGGTCCACTTCCCATTTAAACAATGCTACTGTACTACTGAGTAAGACCTGACCATCTGGAAGGGTAATAATTCCAGTAGTAACTTATGGTTGTTAATAAGACACTATATCAAAATGATGAAATGCAAGGTTATTGTTTACATTACATTGTCTTCCTAAAAACCAGTATTCAATAACCCCAAGAAAAGAGCTTTGCTTATAATCACTTGCTTGTTACTTACACTGAGAGGTGCTGTACTGTTTGGTATGCCAGTTGCATTGTGGTTCCTTGCAGTCGGAACTAACTTCAGGAAATCACATCTCTCAAGGTTTTAGAATAAAATTCTTGTAAATCTGACTCAAAACTGATTTTGTTTATACAAAGATGTCAGAGCAAACATAATGTTTTCATTTAGTGCTTTAGGCTCTTCTGAACATCTAAAGATGATGCTAATTTTCAGCCCTATAATAGTGTTGTGAATCACAATCCACTGCCAGCTATGAGGATGTCCTCTTTTGTAGTGGTGGGCAGGGAGAATTGCAGGTCAATTTAACAGTGTTGTTTCCATGATGCCAAAGAGTTGCTTGCAGCATTTTCTTTAATGGTTAAAACTGAGCAATTTACCGTAGAATCATAGAATCAACCAGGTTGGAAAAGATCTCTAAGATCATCAGGTCCAACTGCTATGCAGAGCTGCCCAGCCCACCCCTAAACCATGTCACTGAGGGCAAGCTCATCTCCCCTCATGGCTGCCCCTCATGATCTCCACTCAGAGTCACCCCTCATCTCCTCTCAACATCTCCCATCATGACTGCCCCTCATGATCTCTACTCAGAGTCACCCCTCATCTCCTCTCAACATCTCTCCTCAACATCTCCCCTCATGACTGCCCCTCATGATCTCCATTCACAGGAACCCCTCATCTACCTGCCATAGTGGCCTACTGTGTATAGCTGCTAACCCTACCCCTCACAGCTATCCTTCATCTCCCCTCAAGATCTTCCCTCATGGCCACCCCTCATGGCCCACGGCCACCCCTGTTCTCACCTCATGATCTCCCCTCAACCCTCAAGGCCATCTCTCCTGCACCCTCACGACTGCCCCTCACAAGCTCCCCTCACACCTACCCTTCTTGAGCTCCCCTCACATCTGCCCCTCACGGGCTCTCCTCACACCTGCCCTTCACAAGATGCTCTCGTGTCTGCCACTCTCGAGCCTCCCTCACACCTGCTCCTCACGCCTGCTTCTCACAAGCTCCCCTCATGTCTGCCCCTCTTGAGCTCCCCTGACACCTGCCCCTCTGGATCTCCCCTCACACCTGCCCCTCTCAAGCTCCCTTCACAACTGCCCCTCATGGGCTCCTCTCATGCCTGCCCCTCTCTCCTTACTCCTGCCCCTCCTCTCCCCTCATGATCTTCCTTATCCAATACTCAAAGGGAAGAGGAAAAAGGCAAGTAGAGGAATAATGATGATACACTGTGCATAGTGTGATTAACTTGTTTGGTTAAGCCAAGGCCTCTTGTGAGGCTGGATCTGAGTCAGCTAGGGTTTGGAGAAGGAGGGTCCTAGAACAGAGAAGAGCAAGCACTGGGTGTGGAGCCAGAGTAGTGGTGTTGGTGAGGATCTGTTTGTCTTCTGGATTGTGTTCTGTTTTGTTTTGTAGGGAGCTTTATCTTGTCAGGGTTTCTCTGCAAATATGGATTGCCCTCATGTTGCCGAATGTCTGAAGCTGCAATAAAGCCCACTGACATGCACTTCGGAGAGGGCAAACTAACAACTTGCTCAACTTGGATGAGTAGGCATTAAGTGGAATGGCTTAACTGTGGGCCACTCAGTCCTTCATTCCACATAGCAAGATAGTAATGTTTTGAGTATTCTCCAATGCAGTTCTGCAGCTGCAGTCATCTGCAGGACTGCATGTCATGAAAAGCCGCAGCTCTCCCAGGGCTGTCCTCATGCAGAAGCTCCCCTACCATGCCACAAAGACCTTGGTCCTAGTTAAAGTGTATTAATAAACATTCAGGCACATACATGGGATTACTAAAGAAGGAATAATTTACAGAAGCTTTTCTGTTTCTTAAGTGGTTCTGTTTCTTCTTTATTTCATTGCATGTAACACCAGGGTTTTTCGGGTCAAGTTGGATTTCCTGGTCCTAAAGGAGAAAAGGGAGATTCTTTATACATAACTACTAAAGGTAGAGTAAAAAACAAAACAACTGATATCACCTGTATTTTGCGACTATTTATACCTTTCATGAGAGAGATTGATCTCACAATAGAAGGTCTTCTTTAGGTACCAAAGGAATTCGAGGAGATCCCGGGCTGCCTGGTATCAGAGGTGGAGATGGTTTTCCAGGCAGAGATGGATTAGATGGTTTACCAGGACAGCCTGGCTTTCCGGTGAGCAGCAAATACAGCTAAATCATTTCCACCAGACTCAATTACAAATGCATTTAATTCTGAGGGGTTACAAGCACCAGGCTATCCTTCTCTCACAGATAATGATGCACAACTAGACTGGCTTTGCTGGTTATTGATATATTCAAGATCAGGTTTACTCTCAGGGTTTTTAGAACAATCTTTCACTTCTTTTTCCATTTTGCTTGACCAACTACGTAGTAGTGTATGACCCATTTAGGTCAGCTTGTTATTTGTGATAAATAGTGGTTCATTAGTGACTCCTTCTAGCATTGTCTAGGAGAGATTCTGTGTGACTGAACTTCAGCAGTTTTGTTATAACTGAGTTAAAGAAAAGCAAAATTTAATACAATTTTACAGTCTCAAAATGTAGGTTGTGTTGTCATATATATGCTTGATAGCACCTCAGCTAGCTAACTGCTCTTATGCGTTATTTGAAGATAAGCCATATCATCCAATCTGGACTACAATACTTTTTACTACAACTAAAGAGAGTATTTTATATTACTTTGAGGATTGAAACATTTTCTAGTGATGTTTGTTAGATTCAGTAGTGTAGAAATATCAGTAAAGGAACAGACAAATTAAAAATATACCCCCATTTGGGCACAATTTTATATCAGCTTTCCTCAAGGTCTCAGAAGTAAATGGCACACCAGAACAAATCTAGTGATGCATGTGGATTCCCCAAAATCCACTTGCAGCTTTTCGGAAAGGTCAGTAGGCCTCTCCACAGCAGTGATTCATTCATACTGCCCAAGTGCCATTCATGGGCCAACATTTTTAGAGAAATGCTTCCTCTAAGAGTGCTTCTCTCATACCTTTTCTGACATGGGGTTTAAATTAAAATCAGGTTATTTAAAAAATAATTTTAGTTGCAGTGTTGATTTAAAGAGCTGGGATGCAACATTTGGGGAGTTTCTGCTTATGTTATTCACGAGCGTAGTTCAACCGTTTGAGGTTTTTTTGTTTCTCAGCAATGTCAGGTTGACCACATCCATTCACTTCCCTCAGGGTGATGCTGTCAGAGGTTTCCCTGGTGATCCTGGTTATCCAGGTGAATTAGGCCCAAAGGGCTTTCCAGGAGAAGCAGGCCTGCCAGGTGAAGGATTTCCTGGTCCAAAAGGGTACCGGGGTCCTCCAGGTGACCATGGACAAGATGGAAGCCCAGGACCTCCAGGTCTGCCCGGTCTGCCAGGAGAGCCTGGCCAACTAGGTAAGAGACATCAATCGCAGTTATTTACATGAGAGCCATGGGAGATAATTACTGAACTGTGTGAAGCATCTGTACAGCACATTGTTGAAAAGGTAGCATTTGGTGGGGGTTATGTGGGTAAAAAGGGATCGCATGTGTTAGTTGTCCAGAAATATTAAAGAAGGAAGTACTTCAAAAGTCTCAGTAGTTTCATGTCAGGTATTGAAACAGTATGAACAAATGCGCTAGTGCCAGCAAGTAACATCTTTCAGATTTCAAGCAGTTGGTGGCAGTGGAGCAATATCCTGCTATTGGAGTACTCACAGGTGGTTTTCTTTGGTCTTCCCCATCCAGCATAATCTTTTAACTGACCAGAGAAAATCATATATCCATCCTTCAGAGCTCTTGATAGTACTTCTGCAGCTTCCAGCATAAGAATGCCAGGGGTACATTCACAAGAACTCAGGCTCATGCTTTTATTGCTCTACTTTGAAATGCTTGGCAAAATATTCAAGCCAAGGCAGGCACCTGCCAACTCTACACAGTGCATGAGGCATGTAGCCTCCTAACTCTGATAGGGTTAGGTTTCAGGCCTGGATCAAATTAATACATGGATAGAGAGTTCCAGTATGTTATAACAAATAGTTTGTGTTGTAGGTATGCATAATACGTAAGTGAATACATTATCTGATGTTGTAATAGACATTTTGGTTGGAATTGAGAGCACTTTACATTTTTTCTCTTTTAAATAATAACTGCCTTTTACCATTCTTTGCTCATAGACTGTGGGCAGGTCACTGAAGACTTTTCTAGAGGAGATGGAACTGAGCCAATATGGTCAGGTACTGTACGTACAAACTGCTTGATTATATTTTAAAATTTAGTCTTATGCTGCTCTTATGGCTTGATTCTTTCTGGTCATTGTTTTGGATGTTCTTATTTGTAAAGTATTTGAACATCAGGTCACAAATATCCATGCACATACTGTACATAGCTTTAAAGTAATTTAATTAAATTGAACATATTCTAAAAGTATTGCAGTTTTAGCTGTGCAATTCAGAAATTCTTTATTTCATTGCTCCTGAGTGTTTATTGTGACAAAATAATGGTTGCCATGCACTCTCTAACAACAGTCCCAGAAATTAGATGCCCAAGAAAATTTAAACAACTTTTTTTTAAAGAACTTTGAGTGAAGGTTTTCAGTACCATTTGACATACATAGAAAAAAAACCCTTCATTTGTACCAAAATTTATCTGACTGCTTCAGGAGTCTAAGTTGCCCACAGGAAAACAAAGTTCCTCTCTTATTCTGAAAAACAGTCATCCATGAGGTTTGATTACCCTTCCCATACCAGTCTAACTGGAGCAAGCCACCGTAGCCCCTGGGCAATAGGCAGAAGAGCAACTTGAGAGCTCTCCGGAAAATGCCACCCATGACCAATTACATTTTTTTTTTAATGGAGAATAAAATATTTTTTAATATTAGGGTTTTGCCTGTTAATTTCATTCAGCTGCTTTAATGAGGTTGTCTCAACTGCAGGCACAGAGTTGATGAGTGGCAACGTATGAGCACATACAGTGTGACTAACCAGCCCTCTTTGCTTTCAGGTGCAGGCTGTGTGAGGCCACCACAGGGATCCCGAGGCAGTCCAGGACTGCCAGGAGCCACAGGTAGCATTTTGCCTTCACCTTCCTTTTGCACATGTACTATGTTTTGAGGAAGATCTTGCCAGATCGATTAAAGTTGAACCTTAGGAGAAATTACAAGGGAGGACAATGTTAACTTAAAGCCAGCAGAGAGACCTAAGCAGTGTGAAGCCCAGGTGGCTGCACTGTTCCCGAGCTAATTCTGCCTTTGCTAATGAGTGTCAGCCATTAGTAGATGAAAACAGAAAGGACAGCCCATTTGCTATCCTCCACTGCAAGTAAGTGAAGGTATACAAAAGGAGTCTACAGGCTTATAGGTAGAAAGTATACTGAGGTCTCCCAGAGCTGACTGGACACCTCACATGGAAATTCCTGTCTTTTGGGAGCAGGTTGATAAAAGGTTGCAGTGGAGAGCTGTGGCAGATCCTTCTTAATATTCCTCCCCTTGTGATATACAGAGCTCCTTCAGCGAGTGTGACCCTGAAATCTTTAATGCAGCACAGTGTAATGGGCCAGGTTGTCTGAAGCAATGCAGTTGCACTGTTTGCCGCCATGCACACCTTCCTTGCAGAGCTGGTCTATCCTAGCCCAGAGGGACCATCTGGCAATCCTGGGCCTCCCCAGCACTGAGGGTTCCATACCTCTTTCCAAAAGAATGAGGAAATGGTGCAGGGGACAAGGTCTGAAGGACTGTGTGAGATGGAATTGAGAGAAACACAGACAAGGATGCTGATTAGTCATAACTATTGACCTTGAAGAGGGAACTTTCGCTGGTAGTTCCTATAAGCTTATGTACTCCCAGCCAAAGCAATAAAGCTGGTTTTCAGTAAATCCTTCTCATGACCGGCTGGTAAAGGTACTGACAGAAACTATAACTGGGTCTTTCAGAGCTTGGTAAATGTAAAATTCTTGATGCATCTATTCTTGTGTCTCCATGCCTTTAGCCAATGTCAGAGATATGGGCTACAAATTTTAATGTCAAGTGTTTGGGGTTTTTTTCCAGCATAAGGTTTATTATGGCATGCATGGATTGATGGATCGATTTATCACAGACTAATGGATTCTAAAAGGGAACATTTGATCTCTGTTCAAAGATGATGTGTATCTCTAACCTATGTTTCCTTAGTCCTTAATGCCTTACTTTGTTGTTAGGACCAATGTTTCTGAAGGTTGTTTTCTTTGCCATCTTTGTAATTGTTTTCTTTATTTTTTTTTTACTTTGATGATTTGTTTATTCTTTCATTCATACAGTTTTTATCTCAGTGAATACAGTCAGATATAACTCCTAGCTGTAAGACTGTTGTAAAACAAGTGACACTGTTTTCATGTGGTCTATATTTTGTACTTTTGGTTAGCTCTTTAACAAATCTCTGTCTGTCTTTGTCAGCTTTTATGTTCTAGTAATTTTAAGATTTGTTTTCCCTCTCTTCCCTCCAAACACTGGAAAAGATCCCTTGCTGAGCCCAGGGCAGAACTCTGTTTATAGCCACCTTTCAGCCTGAGTGAGTCCTGAAGCTGGAAACCCAGTGGGAACAGGACACATTTTACAACTTTTCACAGCTTCTTGTTGCCATATTTGTGTCAATCTCGTTCCCTGCGTCATTATTCCTACACACATCCTCTGGATTGACTCAAAAGCACCAACACCTCCTTTACACTATTTTCATTGTCTCCTTAGAGTGATGTGGTTTTATCCACAAGATTTCCTGCCGCTTTTTCAGCCAGGATGGAGCTCTGCTATAGGCAGTCAAGTCTCTCAGTGTACAAGGTGCTGATGGCACCCAGTATATCAAGCAAGGAGTCATCTTTATAGTCTCACACCCTCATGTCCTTGTGTTTCTTTAAAATTCCTGGCAGCATAGACAGCCCACCCTAATTTACATCCTTGTTATTCAGTAGTCTCAAGACCTATGTGACCGCTGTGGAATAAAATGTTTTTCTGTTTTGAAGGTACAGCTAAAGAGCTTGCAAACTAAACACTGGTCTAAAATAAAACCTTTTCCTAATACTGTTTGGCATAACATGTTAACAGCAGCTAACACTGCATAATGAGTTACTGAAATATGCAGTAAGCAGTAGTTGCATTCTCTATTTGCTGCCTTCTTTCTCTAGAATGGCTTTTTAATTAGTGCAATACCGAACAGAATGAATGAAGTCAGTTATTACACATGGGAAACAGGACTAAGATGCTATTTTGGTAAGAGGTACATTAGAATTTTTCACTGAGACCTGAAAGCCTAGGATTTTTCCTTTTAATTGCTTTCTGAGAAGTTATTGTTCATATAAGGGAGAGAACAATAGTCCTGTATGGCACTGCGAAAATGCTATTCATGCTGCATTGGCTGTTTATGTGCACCTTAATTGTGGTTTTTTCAAAGGTTTTCTTCTCCCCTTCACAAATAACAGCTAGAACTGCAAAAATTATAGCTAAATAATGGAAATTCAGAAAACTGAAGTGGAGAAAAGTATCAAAATTCAAGTGATGTTTTCTTTGGTTTCTCAAAGAGAGAAATTTGCTTTCAGTGTAATAAAGAAATGAGTTGTAATTCATGGTGATGCTAAGCAACAACATTTAAAATGCTAAAGCATGTTGTTGACCTTCAAGCCTGAGCTGGGAACTTTTGAGGAGCTCAGGAGGGTAGGGAAACAAAGCATTCCACAGGAATTATTTTCAAAGAAAGAGCTTTACCAAATAATCTTGATCTTGGAAGACAATGAATTCCTGACGACTGGAAAAAGGGAAATATAACCCCCATTTTCAAGAAAGGGAAAATGGATGACCCGGGGAATTACAGACCAGTCAGTCTCACCTCTGTGCCTGGCAAAATCTTGGAGCAGATTCTCCTGGAAAGCATGCTAAGGCACATGAAAAACAACAAGGTGCTTGGTGACAACCAGCATGGCTTCACCAAGGGGAAATCCTGCCTGACCAATTTGGTGGCCTTCTATGATGGGGCTACAGAACTGATGGACAGGGGTAGAGCAGTTGATGTCATCTACCTGGACTTGTGCAAAGTGTTCAACACTGTCCCACACGACATTCTTGTCTCTAAACTGGAGAGACATCAATTTGATGAATGGACCACTCAGTGGATAAAGAACTGGCTGGATGGCCGCACACAAAGAGTTGTGGTCAATGGCTCAGTGTCCGGCTGGAGATCAGTAACGAGTGGTGTCCCTCAGGGATCGGTGTTGGGACCGGTCTCGTTTAACATCTTCATCGCTGACATGGACAGTGGGATTGAGTGCGCCCTCAGCAAGTTTGCCAATGACACCAAGCTGTGTGGTTCAGTTGATACGCTGGAGGGAAGGAATGCCATCCAGAGGGACCTTGACACCCTTGTGAGGTGGGCTGATGCCAACCTCACGAAGTTTAACCATGCCAAGTGCAAGCTCCTACACCTGGGTCGGAGCAATCCCAGACACAGCTACAGGCTGGGCAGAGAAGAGATTCAGAGCAGCCCTGAGGAGAAGGACTTGGGGGTGCTGGTTGATGAGAAAATAAATATGAGCCAGCAGTGTGCGCTCACAGCCCGGAAAGCCAACCATATCCTGGGCTGCATTAAAAGGAGTGTGACCAGCAGGTCGAAGGAGGTGATCCTGCCCCTCTACTCTGCTCTCATGAGGCCTCACTTGGAGTACTGTGTGCAGTTCTGGCATCCTCAACATAAAAAGGACATGGAACTGTTGGAACAAGTCCAGAGGAGGGCCATGAGGATGATCAGGGGACTGGAGCACCTCCCATATGAAGATAGGCTGAGAAAGTTGGGGTTGTTCAGGCTGGAGAAGAGAAGGCTGTGTGGAGACCTCATAGCAGCCTTCCAGTATCTGAAGGGGGCCTATAGGGATTCTGGGAGGGACTCTTCATTAGGGACTGTAGTGATAGGACAAGGGGTGATGGGTTAAAACTTAAACATGGGGAGTTTAGATTGGATATAAGGAGGAAATTCTTTCCTGTTAGGGTGGTGAGGCACTGGAATGGGTTTCCCAGGGAGGATGTGAATGCTCCATCCCTGGCAGTGTTCAAGGCCAGGTTAGACGAAGCCTTAGGTGGCATGGTTTAGTGTGAGGTGTCCCTGCCCATGGCAGGGGGTTGGAACTAGATATTTTAAGGTCCTTTCCAACCCTAACTATTCTATGATTCTGTGTAGTAAAACTACTGCAAAAAAATAAATATGTATAATTTTACAAACTTAAGAATCTTTTGCAATGCTTGCAGGTGTTCAGATGTTGAGAAACTAATATTTGTCCTTACCAAAATGTCAAATACTACAGTAGAAGGAAGTGAGGTCTACTTTTACTTGTCAGGAGGTAACTCGGTATGAACATGAGTTCAGTGACAGAGAAACACTTTTACAGGGCACAGCCCTGCTTTTACTACTGAAACTATACATCTGTACTGTCATAAATATAGTAAGTAGAGTAGTTAATTTGTATTCTGTTTCCAGGATGATTAGATCTAACCTTTAGCCTTACATTTCTGTTTTGTGGTTATCTAAATCATTCTGCTCTTGTTCTGTGATCAGGTTAGCCAGGAAGGGGAAAAATTTGTTTCTGCTACAGCATCTCATCTGCGGCTGTTTCCGTTGAGCATTCTTCTTTGACATTGCCTTTTGACTTCAAGATAAAAACCTTAATTTACAAAATATTAAAAGTCTGTGAGCCTAGTCATTTTCATCTGGTAGTCTCCATATCATTAGTCTTTAAGTCAGGTTAATCCATGTTTGTAAGAGCACTCAGCCTAGATTTTTGGCCATGTCTTGGGAACTTGAATACTGCTAAAGAGCTATGGTATAGTCCCATTAAATTAAAAATATCTCATCTTTGCATCCAGAAACACATGGTGATATTTACCATTGCCTTTTCTTATATTATATGCAATTTCTGATTTGTTTGTTCAGAACACAATTTCTTACTTTCTTTCATATAATTTAGGTGCAAAAGGTGCAAGAGGATTCCCAGGTGATCCAGGTCCAATGGGATTCCCAGGGCTAAATGGTACACGAGGTGATCCAGGTCGGGAAGGTTTACCAGGTCCTCCAGGTATCTTGAAAACTTGTCATTCTTTATATACTTTTGACCTCTTCACTACAGTTACTGGAACACAGAAACTTGGTTCCAGATACATTTTCATTTATCTTCCCTTCCATGTTCAAACAATGAACTATTATACAAAACCACTATTTTTCAAATCCAAAAGGATTTCCTGCAACTTCTGTAATGATGAAAAATAACACAGACACCAAAATCTTTCAAAATCTGCTTTATAGTGCAAAATTGTGAATGTGTCAGTAAAAGTCCATGATATTCACATAGAAATAAATTCAGTAACAAGATATTTCAGATTCCAAATGGAATATACTCAGAATGATGATGCAGAAAGTAGGAAAACACTAGTATTACTATTTCTATATAACTGCCAATTTCCACATTTGGTCGAATGTTCTTATAAATGCTACGTAGTTTAAAAGCATGTATGCATATATATAAAAACACTTTGATTCTGCATGTTTCTGCTAAGAACTAGGGGAAATTACAGTAATATAAAAGGTGTTGTAATGGTGCACCTAGGATTTGAACTCCAACATTTATGGTGAACCCTGTGATGCCTACTCCCTGTTTTATTTGTAGGTTTTACTGGGCCCAGGGGAGACAGGGGCCCAAACGGTCTACCCGGACTGCAGGGACACCCAGGCCTCACAGGAAAATCTGGTGCTCCGGGAGCCACAGGACTGAAGGGCTTACCTGGCGATGCTTTAGGTGCTGCAGCAGGTTCCCGAGGGGATGTTGGGCTTCCTGGTTTCCCAGGGTTGAAAGGCTTTCCAGGAGATCAAGGAGTACCAGGAGCTAGAGGTAAAACTACTTCAAATAAAGAAATGTTTAAGTAAGAGTATGATATAAATGTAGGCCAATTATAGGAATGTGAGAGTAGTAAGAGACTGTCTTAGGATGTGTTGGAGGTACTGATGACCCCAGTATCAAATCCCAGTGCCTGATGATCTCCCATCCCTTCACTATCAAGTGTTACCAATATGCTGATTACCTCCTTGCCCTGTTGTGGGAGTGAGAAAAAGAGTAGTAATTGTGTGACTAACTCAAAGCAAGGAGGTCTGTCACAGGAGCCTGTTTGGGAGACTTTTCTTATGATTTTCAATACAAAGAAGAGTGTCATGTTACATAAATTGTTTGAAGTGAAGAGAAATGGTTTCACCTTCAGTAGAGTCACAGAGTGAAAAAAAGATGAAGACAGGTCTGTTGCGCTTGGCAAGTTTGAAAAAAGGCAGAAAACATCACTCTGAAAAGGGGAAGAAACTCAAGGTAAAATGTGAATTGAAAGGGAAAGAAAATTGTGTGACTTTGTTCCTTCTTCCTAAGCATTTCTGTAGAGCTAAATTTTCAGCAATAACAAAAAGTAAGCATGGATAAAAGAAAAAGTATTAGTAGTTTGTCTCTTCTTGATTTATTTTACAGTTCTGAAAGAATGACTCCAGAAGAAAAGCATATGAATTTTTTGTATGTGATGTGGGTTTTTAGTTTCACATGAAGAGGCTAGTGCTTCCTTTATATCTTCTATGCCACTTGTACTACTAGCCCCTCAGAACAAAGAGGTGAAACTTGTATTCTGTTGTTGGGAAAACTCACCTTATGTGACCTTAGTTATAAAAGCACATTTAACTGTAGTCAAGGCAATGGACCCACACTGACGTAAAACCTGAATAAAGAGAAGCAGATTCACTTAGCCTGGATGTTAAGTGCCATGTACTCTTGAGGTCTTCTATGCTTCTGCATTTCCAATCTAAATACAAAGCAGGAATTGGCTTTTAAATCTTGGACACCCCCTTTGCTCTTACCTTATAGAGATGTAAATTGTCACCAAGTGCACTAAGTCATGTCAAGGCCTTTTTTTGCATAAGAATTTGTACAAATCTTCTAACAATGCCTTGTAATGACCTTACTTGAAGATTTCTGAGCAATAACCCCAAAACAGAATCTATCTGCCTTAAATATTCTGATTCCTGCCTATCACATTTTAGAAAAGATACAGAACATTATTTCAGTGGTTCAGTCAGCTGCTTGATTTGATTATTACAAAGATATATATGATAAAGAGAGAGATCAGGAATTACAGAATTACTGGGGTTAAAAGTGGAAGAGACCTGTCCCATCTATATCTGCCCAGTGCCAGATTGTTTCCATTCTTCTGAAAGAGCCAGTCAAACTTTCCAATACAAATATTGAGATCAATATTGGTAATGTGAATCATTTTAAAACTAATGAGTAGTCTTTTATTTGCTTTTCCTGCTCTCACTGAATTTTCAGGGGAAAAACATACCCTGAAAGACTAGTGCATAAACAGAAGTGGTGATAATAAGCTCTCTAGATATTTATGCTCTCTAACGCATGATTATGGTATTTTAGGAGCGGATGGTATGCCAGGTTTGCCAGGACCCAAAGGAGAGCCAGGGCCACAAGGTCTCCCTGGTTTGATGGGATTGCCGGGAACTCCAGGAACACGTGGGTTCCCAGGGCCACCAGGAAACCCTGGGCCAGATGGCGGGCCTGGTTCTCAAGGACCTATTGGTGAGGAAGTATTCCTGTCTTGTGTCCCTCCTCCTGCCAGTTCTCTGTGGCAGGACAACTGTATGGTTTCCACAGCAGAAAGTTAAGCTTGGGATTGTGGCACATGCCATGCTTTTATTCCCAGCCAGAGAATGTGTCTGCACTGTACTGGTATCGGAGGTGGAAAGTAGGGGTGATGATGATCCTCGCTGGCAGAGCTGCTGCTTTTAGTTATACAGCCACCTACCAAGCCAGGTCAGAGCTTGCTGGTGGCAGACTGGGAGAATGGAGCTACCAAATGGGGGAGTAGTTATGGGAGAAATGCTTAATTCCTGAAAAGGAGGAAAAGGTCCTATTGGGAGTGGGTAAAGGACCAAGCTGGTAGGGAGTGTGATTTGCATTGAGGAGCTGCTTTGTCTTTGTAATCATGTCTACAGTTTTTTTTCTGAAAAAAGTGCTAATGTTCTCCCCTCAACACAAAGCTGGTAGGACAGCAGTTTTCTCTTCCTTGAGCTACCTTGTATGAACATCATCATTTATGTCCAAGCACTTTTTAATCTTCCTATTTGCATGTTCACATGACAGGTCCACCTGGTGCTAGGGGAGAAGATGGTGAGCAAGGTTTTCCTGGCCCTGTGGGCATGAAAGGTCTGTCTGGTGACAAAGGCGAAACAGGTTATCCAGGATTACAAGGTGTGCCTGGTGTGCCTGGTCCCCCTGGCATAAGCGGAATGGATGGTTTTCCAGGAGACAAAGGTGAGCTCTGCACAGCTGCTTTGAAAAAAGTAGTGTTGCCTAAACCAGTTGTGTGCTGAGATGAACAAGACACCTTCTCTGCTGGGCTACCTCTGTTTAAAATGGAAGAATTAGGATCATGTGCCTAATATATTCCAAAATCACCATTATCCCCTGTGTTGTGCTTGGCAAAAAATGCTAGCTTCTGACATGCAGCCCTACTCAGAAGGGAAGTGGCTGTTTTACTTCTCCTTTTAAAAATTACACAGTATTTAGTCAGTTCTCTGTCCAGAAGTGTTTCTTTTGTCCCAGTCCCTCTGGCTGTCAATGAAATTAGAGATTTTACCCAAACCTTTGCTTTGAACTTTTTTAAAGCTAGCTGTTTTATACTGAGCAATGCCAGACACAAGGCCTTGATGTTGACTTTTACCAGGATACTAATCTTAAGTATCAAGAAGGTGAGATTTTCACCTGCCAGTCCCAGAAATGCTATGTGTAATGCAAGTTGTCTACATTTCACAGGGATTACAGGGATTTTCAACAGTATTGAACTCCATGTCAAGCCCAGTCAAAGGCGGGGAAAGGAGGGGGACATGCCCGTAAATGCATGTTAAAATTTCACCAGTTGGAAAGATAAGGTTTTTTTCCTAATACAACTCTGGAGTACTGATCACCTCTCATTTGAGAGGAATTAAGATCTATATGTTAGCATGCCCTGTGTAAAACAGCATCCTCTTGTTTGGAGAAAAGGAGTGTGGGATTTTGTAGTGAGAAAGGGCCAGCCAGTCCTAAACCCAAGATTTGTGTCTCTACATGTAGAAGAACAGGCTGACTAAAAACCTTGTAAGGAACTAGGTACCTTTCTCTAGCTTACATGTAGGAGAGGGGTTGAACTTTCAGAAGACACTAAGTTCTGATCATCTCTACTACGTCTCCTGCTGGCTAGTTGCGGCAGTTCAATGTGCCCCTGCTCCTCTCTACCTTGGGTGCCTGACCCAGAGCTGCAGGTTGACCTAGATATCAAGGCGCCCAGAAACAGATACTGCTGCGCAGTTTTTACACCACTCTAGTCATGTGATGCTTAGTTTGCAGAAATCTGATTGAGGTAACAGTTCTCTTCCCTTTCTTTCTTTAAAGGTGCAAGAGGTTCACCTGGCATTGATGGTTTCAAAGGAATGACAGGCCTAAAAGGAAGACCAGGCATCAAGGGAATCAAAGGAGAATTTGGCCCACTGGGGGCTCAGGGCGATAAAGGCTCACAAGGAGCACGTGGTTTTAAAGGTATTTGCTTATGGGTGGTAGCAGTGTGTTTGCTTTTCACATCTGGAGAACAATTTTACAAGGACACAAAGATAACGAAGACACATTTTTCACACGGTAAATTTAGCTCAGACATTCCTCCACCTATTTCACACATGGGCCTCTGGCTGAGAGGCCTGAGTTTTAGGCTCAGGGAAAGGTTACTTCTTTGTGAATCTTTACATGTTTAAGGTTGGAGACAGACATCTCATTATTCAGCTGATCTCAGATAGTGGCACCTCTGGGCATATGCAGATCTTAACAGAGCCTTTTCTCAGGAAGAGTAAGGTGTTTGGGGGAAAAGATTCAGATTTTCTCCAGTTGCACTGTAAAGGTATTTAAATACTCAGAAAAACAAGCAATTAAGTAGTTAAAATTCAGTAAAGTTTCAGCTGATACCATCATCAGTGAAATGAAAAGTGTAACTGAGTCCTCTTTTCTTTGTGCGCTTTACCACAACACCAAAATGTTCTTTCTAGGGACCCTGAGATAGGTACTTAAGAAACTCTAGTCTGCAATTTAAATGTTGCAAAACAATGCTCCCAGTAATTCAGGGGAGGTATGAGCAAAAGGCAAGTGTGAAAACAGCCACTGCGAAGAGAAGTGCAAATATACTTCTTAGTGAAGAACTGTAAGACAGTGTATGATCATAGGAGACAAGTCTGGATGGATGGCCTGTCTCTGCCAGCCCACAAAGAACTAAAGACAATCAATGCAGTCAGTCTCTTCAGGTCCTTTATTCAGAATATTATTTACTGTTGTCACCAGTAACCTTCAAATCAAGAAAAGGAACAAAATAACTGGTAACAAACCCAAACTCTTTCTTTTGCCCAAGGCATTTTGACTGAGAGTTTCCCTTTCACTGGAACTAACCTAATTTTCTGTGCGTTCTCCAGTGTGCTTTTTGGTTTCATATAAACACATGATACCTAACTGAACTGCTGAGAGGTAAATTATCTATCACAAAGGAGTTTGGGTCCAGCTTCCCAGGACTGCATGTACAAAAGTTTAACTGTTTTCTTGGAGTTTTTAATGCTTGACTGTGCTGATGCCACATTGTATTGAGATAGGTCAATACAACGTGGATTTTCCTTAGTTTGTGCAAAATTACCTATTAAACCCTTTTTTGCTAAATTTACTCTTCTGCTCATTTTTTCCACCACAGTGCCACTGACTAGCTTTTTGTTACATGGCTGGTTTTTCACCCCTTAGGTGACCGTGGGGATCAAGGACCCCCAGGAGAACCCCCAAAGCTCAAGCCCAGCATGATGATGGAAGTTAAAGGTGAAAAAGGAGATGTTGGAGAAAGGGGCACAAAGGGATTCTTTGGCTTAAAAGGTCAGTGGTCACAGCAAAAAAACCCCAAGTACATTCAGGATTATTGGTTGGTGTCTTTTCTCAGTTACCATATTAAATATTCCCCACTCATCATTCCACTGTGCTGCAGCCCCTCCCAGCAAAGTCTCTGACAGCAGAAGCTGAGCTCCTGGATGCATTTTACTGTGTTTAGAGCCAAGGAAAGCTTTGTGGGGTTATGCTGTGTGCGTGTGTGCCTCCCTTTTTGTAGTAACACATTATGGTGACTTGTTTTGAAAGCTTCTTACAAGCAACTGCATCTTAGCCTTCCTCAGCTTTAATAGTTTACATCTTTTCTATTTTACTTCTTTTTTGCCTGCAGGTAGCAAGGGAATGCCAGGTGTTCCTGGAAAGACAGGAACTCCAGGGTCCCCTGGGCATCCCAGCTATGTGGCTGGTGTGAAAGGAGACATTGGCGCGAAAGGGCTGACAGGTCTGAAAGGGTATCCAGGTCCAGCTGGCTCTCCTGGCATCAGAGGCTTCCCTGGCACCACGGGAATCAGGGTGAGTGTATGCCTGTGAGGGAGTAAAGGTGTCCTTGTGCTGTCATGCAGCTTCTCTAGGGAGTGGCTTTCACCCCTTGACATGGTGCTGAACAGCTACAGTGAAAAGATAAAAATGCAATAAAAATTTAATAAACCGGCCAAATATTTTTGCTTGATCCCTCCAGTGTTCATCAAGCAGAGTCCTTTATCTTCTATTGGGAGACATCCAAATTTCAGGTGCCAGCTTTTTGCCAATGCACAGTTCCTTCTAGGTCCTTGCAGACCTAGCTGTTGCTGTAGCTGTTGGTAAAATTTTTCTCAATGCTGAGCGTGCTCTTCCGTTTCTCCTGGGACTTATGGTACCACTTCCAAAAATAAGTCACTGTCACTCATCTAACAGTAAAAGAGTCTAAGAATCTCAGCTCCTAGAGGATCATTCACTGTGGTTCACTTTGGATGCAAAATAAGTTACAATGGAAGAAACAGACTTTTCCAAAATGCCTGCTCACCCAGATCATTTATTTAAGAGAGCTAAACCCTGTGTTCCTTTCTCAGGTAGCATTGCCCTTAGATTTCAGTAGGACTTCTTCCTAACCAGGGTCTGCAGGACTCTTGTGGAATAGCCCACCTGGCAACTAAGCACTGCAGAGCTGCTCACTCACTTCCCCCAAAGCAGAATGAGGGAAGAGCATTGGAAGGGTAAAAGTGAGAAAACTCATGGGTTTCAGAACAGATTAATAATTGAAATATAATAATTATTATAGTAATAGTTATGAAAATGAAAATAACAATGAGAAAGTAATAAAACCCAAGAAATATGAGTGATGAAAATGCTCACCACCAGCCAACCAATGCCCAGCAGTGGCCCTTGCCCAACCTTCCCCCAGCTCTACATGCTGAGCATGATGCCATATAGTCTGAGATACCCCTCTGGTCAGTTGGGGTCAGCTGTCCTGGCTGTGTCCCCCCCAGCCTCTTGTGCACCCTCAGCCTCCTCACTGGTGCACTGAGAGGCAGAAAAGGCCTTGACTCTGTGTAAGCACTGCTCAGCAGTAACTCAAACATCTGTTACCAGCACAGTTTCCAGCACAAATCTAAAGCCATACTAGTTACCATGAAGAAAATTAACTCTACCCCAGCCAAAACCAGCACAAGGACTCACTACCATGTATGTGCAATACGATGTCCTCAGTTTCAGACTTAAGGCTTTGCAAATATGATTTGTCCATTGGTTTTGTACTGGTTCAGTTAAACTGACTTTGGCCAAATTACTCTCTATAAAGTACTTTAGAAACTCAAAAATGGTAAATTTGATAACCTTTTTTCAGTATTTCCAAACTGCGCTGCCTAGAAAGTTGAATATATCCTCGTCTTCACTAACTGATACCTGTTCTCAATTGCGTGACAGGGAGAAAAGGGTATGCCAGGAATTTCAGGCCATTTTGGTACTCCTGGCTCACATGGTGAAATAGGTGAGTTAATTCTCTTATCTGAGCCCTCTTTGTATTCATTGCTCATCAAATGCTCAGCATTAAGTTCTGAAGAGTCTTAGGGGGTCTTCAGTGTCAAAGAGCCTTTATACAGTCTTACAGAATGGTATTGTAGATGTGGGAGGCTGTGAAAAGTTTAATACTGTTAATTTCATGCAACGTGTACTGTCCGTGGATGAAGTCATCCATAGCGGGGAGGGTGGTTGTTCTAGAGACTTTATGTTTTTCCTTCTTTAATTTACTCCTCTTTTATTCTAGAAAGATAATATTACTGAATTTGGCCTCAGAGGTTGCAATTCATTCAGAACAACAGGAAATGCTGTTTAAATTAAAGCATTACACTCATGTGTTCTTTTTTGCTTGAAATAGGTGAGCAGGGAGAAACTATAAACTTGCCAGGAATGCCAGGCCTTAAAGGGGAAGTTGGTGTGCCAGGCTTAACAGGTATTAATTTCACAGTTTGCTCTGCATGTATTACTTCTTTCATACTGAAGTCCGCAGAGGGAGGGAGGGGGGGGTTACCATAGTCTTTTGGTGCCTATTGAACCTGTGCTCTCGTGAGAGCTCCTGAAGAGGAAATAATTATGGAAGATGGGATAGCAGAGCCAGGTCAATTTTGGATTGGGTTGGTTAGGTCATGTATTAAATTTTCCCTGCACATGCAGCACACTTGAACATCAGTGTCATGTTCCACATAATTTGGGGATTACTTTTAAAAACAAATTTAATGATGGTTTGGCCAGCATGCTGTAGACAACTGTTCATTCTCCCAGATTATGCAAGCACCCTGACTAGAAGAATGTCTTTGTGTGGCAAGATCAGGACGTATTAGATAGCCAATTTCACGTTATGCTTGTTAGCTTTTAGGATTGTCCGGAGATTATTAAAAGAATATATACTGGCTTCATGCTTTTTCAGGCACAAGAGGAAGCACAGGACAAAAAGGTGAAGGTGGCGATCCTGGTTTCCCTGGCATTGAAGGCCTGAAGGGCGCTCAGGGTCTCCCTGGTACTGTGGGACAGGAAGGTAAAATATTCTTTTTAGAGCGCAGAAAAATAAAAATTTTTAAGAGGAGAAAAAAAAAATACCTTTTATCTTGAAATAAAATAATTATGTTTTTTTAATATGTTGATCATTCTGTAAGTTGGTAAAGGGCAGTGAAAAGGATGTGGAACTCACGGTAGAGCTTATTAAGAGGAAATTTCAAAAGCCTACCTCTGCTTCATACGGTTTTTACAGCAATCATGTCTGAAGAACTGTCTTGCTGGCATACTCAAGTATTCTAATGCTGTCCCAATACTTCAAGAAAAAGGGCTTTTCAATACCCTTTTCTGTCAAAAATTAATCCAGTACTCCCTAGGACCCAGTTACAGAGCCTTCAAGCCAGGCTCATTGGCTGACTGTACAAGCATACTGGGGGAACTGAAGTCAGATTTGGCTCTGGCTGTATCATAAACTCAGGGCTTAAGAACATGTCTTATTGCAAGAGGATCATGAAAATGCTCTTTCAGAACAGTTGCTCCACATTTCTCATATAATTAGAGGGGTTAGAAACTCCAGCCAAGACTGGAGCAGTTTCAGTAGGTTCCTCAATGGGAAACAGTTGTCTGAACAGCTTTCCAGTCGGAAAGGCAAAACAGATGTGGCAGAAGAGGCAGCTGAGGTGCACATACATTAAATTACTCATCGTAACTGGTAATAGAAGAAAATTATCATTTTAATAGGAGGAGCCAGTTGTATTTCTGCGGTTGTCAGAAAGGTTGTAAAAACCTAAAGTTTGTAATGAATTGTTCTGTTATACCTTGCTTCTCCTACCTTTACTCTCTTTAGTTCTCTTCCACTTGGATAAGCAGCGCAGTATCGTACAATTACATTAGGAAACGAAAGCCTTATTTTTGCTTCCTGGGAGAATGAAGGTAGCACAAGTGCATGTTTTGGGTGGCTGGCTCTAAGGACACTCGTGAGCAATAACCTCACTGTCACGCAGGTTTGCCAGGACTGGTTGGCCCCCCAGGACAGCAAGGAAGCCCTGGGATGACTGGATTTCAAGGTGAAAAGGGAACTCCCGGCTGGCCTGGCTTACCAGGACAAGCAGGTATTTGCAGCTTCAACTATTCAGTCTTTTTAATGTGAGCACTTGCTATCGTTCCTTTGGGATGGAAAAGAAAGGGGGCTCTTTGCAGTTCAGAGCGGCAGAGTTCCCTCTAGTAAACATTTATTCCTCATAAAGTCCAGGTGCATTAGTGAAGACCCACGTGGCTGCTTTCTGATTTATGGCTTCTGAAGGACGTGAGCTCACTTTAACAGCTCATGACCTCCCTCAACCAGGAAAGCAGTTTTCAGGAAACATACCCATTTTTCATGGCAACTGGGAAGAAAGAACAAATATTTTACATGCAGCAAGAGCAGTGATATACAGTATTAGAATATTATAATGTGGCATTAGATAGCAAACAATATGCTTATCCTGCGTCATTATAAAAAACCGTGAATTGATCCAATGTCTGGTTTTAAGAATAAGTGACTTATGGCTCAGACAGAATTCTGCTATCAAAATACAGGTGATAGTTTAAGATGAAGCTGCTTGATTCACAGGATACAGAATCTCATTGGCTGACACCTAATTCCTTAATATATTAAGCAGATTTTTTTTTTTTACAGTATAGCCAGAAATTGCCCTGCTTTTACTAGGATTCATCTATCTGAATCTGCATCAAATCTAAGCTAATATGGTTATGAAGGATGCCTTTGTAGACAGTAAAGAGAGAGAGACATTATTTATTGTAAGGTTGAATTGTCCTCCAGAGCTCTGGCCATTGATTAGAAGTACCTGTCTAGCTTTAACATCATGCTTAACACTTTGACAGGTACAAATAGATGGGATAAATTTTACCTGTAACAGCAGCAGGAGCTGTTATACATTTTGTTAGGGGTTTGTTGGGGTTTTGTTGTTTTTTTTTTTTTTTAATTACAGAGAATGAATTTCTCCTGAAGAGAGCTTCACTATAATCACATTTAGAGCCTAAAATTATGCCATAATTGTCTTGGTTTGAGGATTTCAGAAAACTAAATGGTTATTAAAAAACTCATGGCAGCAAGAATGGAACTAATGACATGCTACCAGACAGATCAAAGATATTTTAAAAAGTAATAATCTTGTTTATTACTTGGATAATATTGGATAGTAGATAATTTTGCTAATCGCAAAACCATGGTGTGGTGTATTTCATAGTAAGCTTATTGTAATGAATTAATTTGCATATAATACACAAGATTTTAACACAGAATAGTATTTATCCAAGGATTTGAAATTTTTGCCTAGAAATATATACAGACTCGTAGAAACTATTAAGATAATCATGAATGCAATTTTAAAACAGGCTTGCCCGGCTTAAGAGGAATCAGTGGACTGCATGGTTTACCAGGCACTAAGGGTTTACCAGGATCACCAGGTAAGTAAGACTCTTATTCTGCCTGTTCATAGGCATAGCATTGTGTTGGCTGCAAGTTTGGTGAGTGAGATCTTTGCAATGTGACTTTCTTAACTGTATTCCATAGCCCAATGTGGAATTTTCTTCAGTATTGTGGGCTCTGGCAAACAGCTTCATACCCTATGTGCTGCCACACAGATGGATTAGAACTCAACTTTAAATCAAATTTTTTTTTCCTCTTATTGAGTTAAAGCCTCAAGGTCTTTTTTTTCCCATTCTGAGGCATTTTACAATTAGACATTACAGACTCCTCACGTACTTAGTAAATTCACATACTTTATACACGTATGTTAGCTGCTGATACACTGTTACATACAGAAACATCTCAGCTTTCCTCTTTAATTTTTAACAACCCCACAACAGGTCCGGATGGTTACGGCTCTGCAGGTTTCCCAGGTGCAGTGGGTGACAAAGGAGAAGCAGGAGAGCCAAGCAGAGTGGAAGGCAGCCAAGGACCTCCGGGTCAGAAGGGAGACAGAGGTGTTCCAGGTTTGTATTCCAGAGAATGGGATCTATGCAGGTGTTTTCCATTTTGAAAATCCCATTTTTTATATTTAGTCTGAGGTGAGTCCTTATAATTGCAATTGTGTGTTTTCCTTGTAGTACTGATTATTTCTTCTCTTCCTTTCAGGAGTCCAAGGACCCTTTGGCATTCCTGGGCAGGAAGGACCTCCAGGTCCTCCTGGGATTTCAAATATATCAGGACATCCTGGTGATAAAGGCTCCCCAGGTCTAGATGGAGTGCCAGGTAATTCATGCCTTGTTTCCCTCAGGCAAGAATAAAAGACTTATGTACAAGGTTGTGCCCTCAGACAACAATAGAAGATTAAGTACTGGGTTAGCAACAGTAGTTTCATTGTTATTTCTGTCTTGATTCAGTAAAATATCCCTATTAAATGCAACACTAGAGTGCATGAATAATTGTTGAACAGAACTAATAGAATCATAGAATAGTTAGAGTTGGAAAGGACCTTAAGATCATCTAGTTCCAACCCCCCTGCCGTGGGCACCTCACACTAAACCATGACACCCAAGGCTTCCTCCAACCTGGCCTTGAACACTGCCAGGGATGGAGCATTCACATCCTCCCTGGGAAACCCATTCCAGTGCTTCACCACCCTAACAGGAAAGAATTTCCTCCTTATATCCAATCTAAACTTCCCCTGTTTAAGTCTGAATCCATTACCCCTTGTCCTGTCACTACAGTCCCTAATAAATGGTCCATCCCCAGTATCCCTATAGGCCCCCTTCAGATACTGGAAGGCTGATATGAGGTCTCCATGCAGCCTTCTCTTCTCCAGGCTGAACAGCCCCAACTTTCTCAGCCTATCTTCATACAGCCTATCTTCATTCAGCCTATCTTCAATGGTGTATAAGATAATAGAGACAGACCTCTTGAAAGTAAAAGGCAGTTCCTCCAGGTTGTCCTGATGGAATTGTTTGATTTTCATGCAAACAGTTGTAATTGTCCACAGTTCTCTTAACAACTTTCCGAAGGATTATGCTAATTTTCTACTTTAAAATCTGAGGTCTGTGGCAGACTTGCAGGTCTACGGAATTATTTTTTTTTTATCATTTATAAAACTTTCCTATGTGAAATTCCCATGCAAACTAAGCTACTAAGGAAGTATTAGCTTTTCTCTCTACAAGTCCATGCTATGAGCCTGCCTCCCACACATATGAAAGAGACACTTGTCTCTCTCTATATTTAGAGGCTGATATACCTGTAGCTTATTGGACTGCACATTCATTTCAAACTGTAGTGCCACTGTGAAGAGCTTGTAGCAGAAGCTGCAAATGTCACACTACCATCTTTATATGATGCATGGAAACTTTTATGTAAACTTGGCAAAAATCTACAATAGGCAAACCAAATGAAACCCAACAGAATACCTAGGTTTCCAAATGGAAAATAAACGTTAGTTGGCCTAACACTTCATACTGATTCCCACTTCCCAGGCAGTTGTTGGATCTAAAACTAAAAGTAGAAGCAGTCAGGAGAGCAGGAACATGAACCATCTCCCAGCCAAAATGGTGAGGCATGGCTCGTTCTTATTTTGCCACCTGCATCTTGCATTTGGTCCAACTTCAACAGGCAGCACAAGTGATGCCCTACTCAAAACCCTTGTTAGTAAATCCCTCTCTCTTCAGAAACAAGGTCCAAATGTATTCTCAGGTAGCAGAGGTAACTGAAGAGAAACCTGCCAGGTTTAGCTTCAGGCAATAAGTAATTCTAGAAAAAGAAGCTGTTCCCATAATTCCCAAGAAAGCATGAAGTAGTTATTTGTATCCAGATGTTCAGCTGAAGCACTAAGATACACTGAACAGTAAGTTCTTGGCTGACTTACCACCTGGCACTGAGTCAGGCACTCACTGCTCTTTGATTTCTCTCTAGCTACTTGGAAAATTTAGGATGAAGCAGGGATGCATCTATTGAAGTGGGGAACTTGCTGGGGAAGGAGGAGCTCATTGAAGGATGCATCTCAGCAGGCACCTCATTTCTGCTGACATCTTGAGATGACACTGCTTTGTGAGAGATTCATGCTCTAACTCCTCTGCCACTGCAGCAGAGTATATCAGTTTCAGAGCAGGAGTGCTGAATAAGTTGGGGAGCTAAGCATTAGTTCCCCACTTAAATTAAGGAAATAAAACCTGATGGGATACAATTAGATAGTACTGTTATTTTCCCCTGTGTCCAGGTCTTAAGAGTAAACTGATTACAACCTATATGTGCTCTAAATAGGCTATCCAGGACTACAGGGACAGCCTGGAATACCGGCTCCGCCAGGAAGCAAAGGAGAAAGTGGACAAACAGGTGTGAGTGGAGAAATTGGCCCAAAAGGAAGTAGAGGGGATCCTGGATTATCAGGGAGACCTGGCGTTCCTGGCTACCCTGGGCCAAAAGGTAAGGATGGGAAATGCTGATCTTGGCCAGGAGCAGGGGAACCTCCTATGCTACAGCAGCTTTAATAACATGACTTTTACACTCAATCTGTGTTGAAAGGTAGTAATGTCACCTTCTGTTTTTCATTCAAGGTCGGAAGGGTGAACAAGGTGTCATCGGCTTTATGGGCCCAATAGGATTTCCAGGTGATTTGGGACCTATTGGACCCAAGGGGGATAGAGGACTAACTGGTAAGTGCAATCAGATGCATGACTCCTTTCTAAATTACTCATTTTGCAGCTCCACAGAGCTGATCTAACTGGCCCTGCTTCGAGTGGGAGGTTGGGCTAGATGACCTCTAGAGTCTTCTACAACCTGCATGACTCTGTGTCTGGCAAATTCCAGCGGGCAGATGCCTGAATTTAACATGAGTAGTCAACTTTTTGCCTTTATCAGTTTATTTTGTATGAGGTACAAGCTCCAAAATCAGAGTCACTTTCAGGATTAAAAAACAGAAGTCCTGATCTAAACTAAGCCTCCAGAGTCAACATACTGGATATTTAGAAATATCTTTAAAATCCTTCAACTGTATCAGCATGTATTTTTGCCTCCTGAAGCCCACCAAAAGATGGTGCTGTGCCTCAGAGAGCTGTCTGCTCTCTGGGGGGAACTTCCCAACTTCCTGTGGCATAAATGAGGGAGCAGTGGCATCATTCACTTCCTTCTGCTTATCTGTGTGCTGTCCAAGGGTTGCTGACCACAGTCACTTACTCACATATGTGTGTATTATATATCTGTGGATGAAAGCATGTTAAGGAAAATACTAGGGTTTTTTTAAACAAACTGTCTCATCTTGTTTCTAATCACAGGCTTTCAGGGGCCTCCAGGCTCCCCTGGGCTGTCCCCTCTTCCTCCAAGGCTGGTTGCTGAGCAAGGTTCACCAGGTCCCCGTGGAAATATAGGACCTCCAGGAAGCCCAGGAGATGTGGGACCTCAGGGTCCACCAGGCGATCCAGGTAGGAATTGCACACTCAGAGTGAAAGGTCAGATCCCCTTAGTGAGGTCAGGTCACCAGGGAACTGTTTTGGCTCTCTTCTACTTTAAATTCCGGAAGTCAGAAAGGAGAGTCAAATTTTGGTCTTTCAAAGCTAGGGCTTGGATTTCCTCCTCCTCCTAGCATTCAGAACCCAAGCAAAACACGAGGAAACTTTGACAACACTCACATAGCCAAAGCAACACCAGATGTGGATCTCATTTAAATCAAGATTGAACTTCTTTGATGGAAATGTGCACATCGTTATGGAAGTGCTATCAGCACAGAGTATGTAGCATTAGTGATACGTGGATCCAACGCAGTACGCTCCTTGCTACTAGCTTCATCAGACATGCATGATGGTAGCAAAAGTGAAAGATCAGGGTTGTGCTGCTCATATAGTCTTGATCCAAGGAACTTTTTCCAATGAAGTCAGTGCTGTTTGCCTGAGCAAGAACCACAGGATCTTGCCTTTAGCGTAAATTGGTAAACATGACATGTAAGACCAAACACACAGAAGTAGAGCATGTGTTAACAAAGCAGATAGCATGTTGATATTTGTGTAGTCACTGTGCTTATAACCGTTGTTGGTGCAAGGTTTCAGAGGCGCACCTGGAGAGCCAGGACTCCAGGGCAGGGGTGGAATTCCAGCTCCTCCCGGCTCCAGAGGTGAACAAGGAGCAACAGGGTTTCAGGGTCCAGTAGGATTTGAAGGTAAAAAATGTTGCACAGCACTTCTTCCTTCTTTCCACTGTCACTGCCATAAATCATTCTGTAGTTCTGCCTCAATGGATGGGGATGAGGAGAGGAGAAAGAAAATTTGTCTTCACAGCTTCACAAGAGACATATAACTACTTTTAACAGAGTTATCTTAAAGCAGTATTTTCACAATAAGTTTTGATAAATGTAGATGTCAGTCCACTCAGTGAGTTTGTTTTGATCTGTGTTTTTATATTGGTTTTTAATCTGTGTATTTTTATATTGATTTTCTGTTAAGTATTTTCACCTAGTGTTTTACTAGCAGTTACACTCATGAAAACAAATGGTTGGGTAGGTGATATTTGTGTAAATGATGTTTAAAGAAACATATTTGTAGAAGAAATACCTGTGTCCTTATCCAATCAAAGAGCAGAACAATTACTATCTTAATTAGCTAAGTACACGGAGAAAAAAGTATTTGCAGAGCATAGCTGTAACCATATGAAGCAAACACAAGCAGTTAAACAAGTATTGCTTAATCTTGGACTAAGAAAGCATTTTAAGGAACAAACAGGCTCATACATAGAAAGTATGCTCAAATTCAGGGTGTTATAATGTGACTTTTCCTGGATCTGATAGCAAAATACACCACCTTAGAAACCAGGGAGCCTTATCCAGCACCAATCTATTTAAAAGCAACTGCTGTAATCCTACAACTACAGCTCTTTTAACAATAACTTACCATAAGAAGGGTTATCATGCAATTAAGTTTTATTCATCAGCAGCTTAACTGGAATATCAGAGCATTTGTGGGAGCACAAACTAAGTTGTATGATTTCTTTCCCCATTTCTTCTAAGGTCAGCCAGGCCGCCCCGGTAGCCCCGGGCTGCCAGGCATGCCAGGTCGCAGCGTTAGCATGGGCTACCTGCTGGTGAAGCACAGCCAGTCCGATCAGGAGCCAATGTGCCCAGTTGGCATGAACAAACTCTGGAGTGGATACAGCCTGCTGTATTTTGAAGGACAAGAGAAAGCACACAACCAGGATCTAGGTACGTGGGGCAGGCGTTGCTGACGGCAGCCTCAATTCCATGTCTCTGACTGAAAATAACAAAAGAATAAAATAGTTCTTAGAGGAAGCTGGGACTTGAGCAGACAGGCTTAGGAAACACCAGAATGAGAAGTGCCCCTGAGCACTCAAGTGTTGCTCAAGGGGACCTCTAAAGCCAGTGAAACAGTCTGGACTTCAGGGTTTTACCAACATACTCAGGAAAGAGCAGGAAACTGAAAACATGCATTGTCTTCTGTGTCAATGATTGCCATCATTTCTATTATTTTTTTCTCTTCCCTTTTTAACAGGGCTGGCTGGCTCATGTTTGGCTCGTTTCAGTACTATGCCATTCCTCTACTGTAACCCTGGTGATATTTGTTACTATGCAAGTCGAAACGATAAATCCTACTGGCTCTCAACTACAGCACCTCTTCCAATGATGCCTGTGGCAGAAGATGAAATCAAGCCATATATCAGTCGGTGCTCAGTTTGCGAGGCCCCAGCTGTGGCAATTGCTGTCCATAGCCAAGAAGCTTCTATTCCTCACTGCCCTGAAGGCTGGCGCAGTTTGTGGATCGGATATTCCTTCCTTATGGTATTTGTTCTCCAGTGTCATTTTTTGTGTTTGAGTCTTAGATACTAAGAAGGCTGCTCTGTTTTAGAGCCAACACCACCAAAACCAAGCATCATACTGGGGAGCCAGAGAACTACAAACTACTTAAACTTCCTAGTTTCTAGGAAGCAGAAGAGGCGAAACAAAATTTCTGTGAATTGCAGATAAAATTGCCTCTTGTCAGAACAGCAGCTAGAGTCCTTGCTACATGTACAAAATAGTGCTTCAGAGCAGAACATAGGGACAGATATGGATTGACAAATAAAATGGCACTGAGGTGCAACTGTAGCCTACAAAGCATTTCCACAGCTAAAGATTAGGAGTTACTTATGTACATCACTAGTAAAGCTGATCTGTATTTCAAAAAAGAAAAATCAACCTTTTGCCTTCTTTTGGAAACTTAAAATCATTGATGTTTGGTCCAAGATTTGAAAGCTGGAGAGGGACTTTTTATAGCAAGTAGTAATAGGACAAGGGGGCATTAAACAGAAAGAAATATTTAGATTAGCTGTCAGGAAGAAATTCTGTACTATACATGGGTAAGAGACAGGCACAGGCTGCCCAAGGAAGTTTTGGCTGCCCCATCCCTGGAAGTGTTCAGGGCCAGTCTGGACAGGGCTTTGAGCAACCTGGTCTAGTGGAAGGTGTCCCTGCCCATGGCAGGGGGGTTGGGACTAGCTGATCTCAACCCAACCCATTCTGTGATTTAGAAGCCAAAGGTTTCCACTTAGTGGAAAACCAGCCTCCTGTTGTTTTTAAAATTAAGCTTCAGTGTTGTATCTCTAATGGCAACAAGACCTGAGCTCTATATCGCATGGCTTATGGGATCTCTTAGATCTTGTGGTCTTATAATTAAGAAATGGGAGGTTATAGAAAAGCTTAGCATTATGTGTGCAGTGGAAGACCTGCTGAAGTGCCTGACCTGCTTTTCCTGCGAGACTGCACAGAGGTGTCATGTAAGTACTGGAGGGTAAAGAGCAGCTAGAATGTTCGTGAGTGATCTGACAGATGCTTTTTTTTCTGACTGGATTCATTACTGGAGAGTCAAAATCTGCAACAGTAAGCCCATGTTGTTAACCCATTAAAGACTGGACCAAATGCTGAAGTAAACAGGGTTGAGGAAAAAAGTAATTAGATTTCTCTGGCAGAAAACATCATAGAATAACAATAGTAATTTTTACCTGCAAACCATTTGTTTGTCAAAAGCCACAAATTTATTTTTTTTCAGAGAATAAGGTAAAGGAAATCTGGTATTTGTCATTTAGTTACAAAAAAAAAAAAAAAAAAAACAGACCAAAAAAACAACACAAAACCAAATCAAAACCAAAAAACCTAAGAGTGCAGGTTAAATGTTTGACCAGCCCTATGTCTGACCTTTCTTTTGCTTCTATAAAAAAAACCCTGATACCAATCTCATAGTTACTTCACAAGAATGCTAAGGATTAATTAAATGTTTGCAAAGCCCTGTGTAAACACCAAGCATTGTTAAGAGCAGAGTTTCACCCTAGCAAGACCTTTTGCCAGGACAAAGTGCCGGCACTAAGGAGCACAGAGTGAGAAGAGTTCATGTATTCCCAGCTAGCATTTGGAGGGAATGAAGTGTTTGGTGAATGCATTTTTGCTTCTTAGGCAACTATGAAAGAAGTACAGCATGCTTTTGGTTATCTCAGAGTACGTACTGTTTTACTTCCTTGGCTTACATTTGTCACCTCTTTCCCCTAAGGAAGGTACAGTACCAAAGGGAGTCATCACAGACTCTGGCCAGATTTCAGGTAGCAAGGGAACATCAGTGTATAGGAACATCCTATACAGTGGCATAAGCATTGCAGAAGGATGGAAGGCCATGGCCAATACCAGAAAAGATACTAGACATAGAGTTGGAGCTTGTACCCTGAGGAATGCCAGTACTCATCCTGAGGTTCTCTAGTGGGTCTGCTCCCAAGCCAGGGCTCAAATAGCATGTGCAGTTTTTGCTAACTGCTTTCCAGCTCCAACTGCAAAGGCCTCAAAGCTGTAATAGTTTATGCTGCTCCTTACCAACTTCGTTCTTACAGAGGGGTGCTAGAACAATTTTGCTTCTGATTTTCATAGCCTAGCAAGTCATGTAGATTTGTAAGGCAGCTGGAGGCTGCAGTTCTAGGGTCTGGGTAAGGGGTTCTGGTGGGAGGGAGTTGTTTGGGGTTTTCTTTTAAACCGTTTAACAGCTAAACCTCAGCAACATGTAACTCCAGCCAGAGATCAGTCCTTTACTCTGTTAAAAGGTGGCCACTTCTTTGACTCATTTATACAAACACACCGGACCTCTTGCAGCACAAACCAAATCAGTTACAGCTTGCACTTTTAGAGTGTGGTATTTATTAAGACATAGGCAGGCAAACATAGTAGTTGTGCCCAGATTACCCCTTACATCTATAAAACTATTTAGCAACTTTATTTTCCAGCTGCTTTCTTTTATATTGCAAATTCCTTCAGGTTTTAACAGAAAAGGAGACAGCTTCACTTAAAAAGTAGCTGTACAGCTCTAAAAGGGACAGAGGAAATGTCTGGTTTTTAGCAGTGCCTTTGACAGAAGAAAAGTAACATTCAGTTCATTACCACCGTATGTGTCAAAAGTAACAGTTGAGTGGCCTAAAGATGCATGGTTTTGGTGTAATTTGCTGACAAAGAATATGCCACAGAGGGAACTAGTTATTTGCGTAAAAGGTGATTTTGTTTCCGCAGTGTTCCTTATGTGCAATGCAGTAAGACAGATGTTTTAATTTGGGAAATTCAAGTTAGATATATGTGTGGTGGAAAGCTTTTCTCAGTGAGTGTAATCAAACAGAAAACCAGTGCCCAGAGAGGTTGTGCCACCCTTGGAGGTACTGATAACTCAACAGCGCCCTGAGTGACTGTGGGCAACTTTGGAGTCGGCCTTGCTTTGAGCACAGGACTGGCTGAAATGACCCCCAGAAGGCCTTTCCCACCTAAATGATTCTCCAGTGCTAAGACTTTCAACAGTGAAAATCTTAACTATAGAAAAGATGTTTGCCAGAAGATTTTAAAGTGGCATCAACACAAGGAGCTACTCCTTTGCATAGCTAAAGCATAACCAAACCCTTAAGCCTTACTTAGCTGCAGGATTAGCTGACTGCTCTGGAGAGAAGAGCCCCATCCCTGGCAGCATTCAAGGCCAGGTTGCATGGGGCTTTGAGGAACCTGGTAGAGTGGAATGTGTCCCTGCCCATGGCAGAGGGGCTGGAACTAGATAGTCTTTAAAGTCCCTTTAAACTCAAACCATTCTATGATTCTATGAATTAGGAGCAATTCTAGTGGCTTTTCTCTTTTCTCACATGTAAGTTTTTGACAGCACTGCCTGTGGGTGTACTCTGAACGCTGCCTTCCTTGTCTTGTTTAGCACACTGCTGCTGGTGATGAAGGTGGAGGCCAGTCGCTGGTTTCTCCTGGGAGCTGCCTAGAAGATTTCAGAGCGACTCCTTTCATCGAGTGCAATGGAGCACGTGGAACCTGTCACTACTTCGCCAATAAATACAGCTTCTGGCTCACTACGATTGACCAGCCCTTCCAAAGCAAGCCCTCGGCAGATACACTAAAGGCAGGACTGATCCGAAGCCATATCAGCAGATGTCAAGTCTGTATGAAAAACTTATAGAAGTCTTTCACAGTGGAACCTTCTGTGATAGTTAGACATTTGAATAAATCATGTTGGTGCTTTTTTAACTTATTACCTCAAAAGCTGAATGGAAAGTTAATTTTTAAAAACGTCTGTAAAAGCAAATTAAGTGTAACACAAATCACGTCTAACACACAGATCTAATGCTGTGTTCTCCTACTATATAGCATATATATACATTTTGCTATTCTAACGTAACATCATTTGCCAAATGCTACGAATACTCACAGCTTTGAAATACCAAAAAACTTCAGTAATAAATGGTTACCTTGGTCAGATACCAACTGCATTTACTTTAAGAGAATATATGTATCTTGTACATTTACTGTATTTGTCACAACAGTAAACACTAACAGCTCCAGTTCCATAAATTAACACAGCGTGCTCACAGAGAGAAACTCTTGCAAAATACTGAAACTATTTTGGAAGGTGCTCATGTCCAGCATTGAAACCTAACCTTGATTTTAGTATTTTATGCTTGGGTATTTCAAACACACCCAAAACAATTATCTTTCTGTTGTGTTTGGTTTTTTCCAAGCCTAACAATGCTTTGGCACTTAACCACTGGCAAGAGCAGAGAAGCCCACAGGCCTCCCAAAAATAGTGACCACAAAATACAACTCTTCCTATTTCAGTTAGGAGACTAAATGATGAAGATCACCATTTCATTTTACAAGCTTGGTAATTTTTTTCTAGACATACCTCAGCATCATTACAAAGGTCTCTTGCTCCTTGCTATGTTGTGGACATCCATCCGTGTCACACTATCCACATAGCAGGTGACACTGGTTGGCTTTTCAGTTGCAGCTTTTCTCCTCTGAAAGCAAGCCACTCATCACAAACAGATTTTAACCATTACTGCTGGAAGACCTATTGCACATAGGGTGGGCTTTACAGGAGAACAAGTTGCTCGATGCCACATAACTTTTAATTTAAACACAGAACTTCCCCTACTGCCACTTGTCTGTCAAAAGGCATGCTGTCCTGGCAGCTAAGGACACACAGCAATGGGATAACCACCACCGATTTGCACACAGCCAGGGGGGAGAAAGCAAAGCATTCATTTGGAACCATCTTTCCCCATAGAGAACCAGGTTATTGCATGCCAGGCTTGATAAATGGCCAGAATGGCTAACTCTTTCCTTCTGCAGAAACAATTTAGCTCAAAGTTACCTGTCACCACTGCAAGAGACCGGGAAGTGGGGGAATGGATCAGTTGCAAGTTTCCTGCTGGCATAGTCTGATTATATACCTGAATGCTTAAACCTAAAATTGAAGAGATTGTTATAGCAATGGCAATTGATTTTTCAACAGTTCACCTCACTCCTGCTTCAGGTGCTTTTGGCTTTTGTACTTACATTCCATCCTCACTGTATCATAAATAAAACCTGTTTTTTTCTACACTTTTATTTGTTGATGATTTTCATTTTGTAAATGGTGCTTTTCTGCACAATGCGTATGGACAGCTCTGTTGAATTGCTTTGTTTGCACCTAAGGAATTAGAAGCACACTGCCAGAAAGCTCCTTCCACTGAAATTCAAACTGTTCAACCGGGAATACACTTGTTTATTTCATGACACTTTAAAAGATCCAAGAGGGAAGCTGTGTTTCTAAAACTGCTTGCTTAAGCTTAACTACTGCAATAGTATTCCATCTTGTTGTTAGAACAATTTAAGCCAATAAATTGCAATGTTGCAGATTAAAGCAATGTATTATTCATGCTATACAATGTTCAGAAAACCAACATTAACAAAACTTCCCAAGTGTTACCTCTGCAAAAAAAAAAGATGAAATATAAATGAAGTTAAAATTCTTAGCTAGCATACTGTCTAACCTTGATCAGTTGCACATATGATGAGATACATCCATAAAAAGAGAAATTACCTAAGCTTGAAATGAGCTCTCTGGCTACGCTGTAGCTCTGAAAGGCAGCCCCCAAACAAAGTAATCACACCACTATTTGTTCAGCTAAATAAAATACTTAGAACAGAAAATAATGCAGTCATCTTGAGCCAGATTTACTCCATGCTTGCCAACTCTTTTAAATACGCAGGGCAGTAACAAACACCCAAAAATCAGCAACTTACCTCAGCTCGGTGCTGCTAGAAATCAGTGGTTGTGGGATGAACACAGTTACCACTTGGGATTTGGACAGCGTACCATTCCAGCACATTCAGTATTTTAAGAGAATTCAAGTGGAGGTTATGCAAATCTGGAAAAACCAATTACATCAACAACAGAAGCAAACTATTTGTACTCTCACAGCTAATACATTGCCTAATCTTCCTATGCAGCTTATTTTTTCCAGTGTAAAACTTTAGCAGGTAGGTCTTCCTCTCAAGCAGTTTTGCCTCTTAATTTTCTCTTGCTCACATAAGTTGCTCAGTGCAGTATCAGCACAGCATTGAGTTGAACCCACGGGCATGGTACAAGAAAAAACAAATCATAAAACCCCACAAGGTGCCAAGTGGACTTGAACTTCTGTACTTTGTGCACGTCATGTTCTCAGGTCTGTGTTCCCATAGCCATGTTTCTCAAAAGCCTGTGTAATCTCTGTGTTGAGAAGGGGAGGTTGCTCGTGCACACCAACACATGGAATACTTGCAGCAGCCAGAGAATTTCACCTGATGAGCTAACCCAGAGCACAGCATGAGGGGAACTGACTCAAGCTGCCTCTTAGTTGCAGGTTTACCTCCTCTCCTGTGACAAAAAGTCAGAGAGATGGGGTTGTTCAGCCTGGAGAAGGCTCCAGGAAGATCTTATTGTGGCCTAAACCCATCCAGTATCAGGTTGAATGGGGCTTTGAGCAACCTGATCAGAAGATGTCCCTGCCCCTGGCAGGTGGGCTTCCTCTAGGCGATCTTTGAAGATCCCTTCCAACCCAAACCATCTGATGATTCTGTGATCCCAGAACCCATTCCCAAGAAGTTTAAATATTTTGATACTGGAAAAAACTCAGCTACAGCAAAACAAAACAATCTTTTTACTAAACTACGGTGCTCCAGCCTAGGATGTAAAAACCACAAGTGTTTTGCCTGGGTCTGACCACGTCAAATCTTTTGCTTCAAAGTATGCTGTTTGCTTCCTACACTTCCCTGTTTGAAAGCATGCTGCTGAGCCTGGAGAAGGTGAATCAGATTACATTGCCCTGCTGCAGGTAACTGCATCAGTATATCAATGTCAGTTGACACCAATTATCTCCTCAGAGTGTGTTGACCAGAACAGCCAAGTTCATTCACACCTTACATGACTGGGCTTGCCTGTGGCTGCCAGAAACAGAAAATCAGCAAACAAGCAGTAAACAAGGTAGTAGGTTGCTGCCAGAAGAGAGGCTGGAAGGTCACTGATATTGTGCTGATGGTACCCGTGCAGGTGGCAGCAGAACCCATAAACCATATGGGAACCAGCTGCACCCCCAGGGTTGGCCACCCACACCCAGCAGGGTGAGTGAGGGCCTGGACTCATGGTCTTTGGGGATTAGACACAGATGGTACAAGACACACTGGATGAGGAGAACAAGTAACATCACTGAATCCCTGACCCATGAGCAGAAAAGTAAAAACAGGCAGTGGTGCTTCCCAGCAGGACATAATGATTGGATTGATGATCTTAAAGGTCTTTTCCAACCTGGTTGATTCTACAATTCTATGGCATGGGCATCTAAAGTCAAAGCATGTGGCCTCAAGCAGCTCTACCTGCTTCATGAGCATCTGGGGGGTTCAGGCTCCTTTGGTGGTACCTATGAGACTTGAAGCCTATTGGGGTTGCAAGGAGCCAACAGCAACCGCAGTCTCGCACCATCGCTGCCCGCAAGGGGCAGGAAGCAGGATGCAGCCTCCCCAGCCAGCCCAGCACCCACTCACCCCGCCACCCCTCCATCCGCCTCAGGTCACAGCACGGCCCAGCCATCATCTCAGGCACAGCATGCCCACAGCTCACATTCACCCAGTGTGGACAAAAATAACATCTATTTCACTGTTCAAACACTTCACATAATCCAGACAAACATAACTGAGGGAGGTGAAGGGAAACAAATACTTGTAAAACAAGGTCCCGCTCTCAGGCAGGGCAAGCAGAGCACATGGGATGCTGCTTTCACCTGCCATTGCCAGTCCTGGCCATGCATGACCATTCTGCAGCTTCACTGCTCTTCCCCATCAGTGAGCCAAGCTGAATTATTCCAATAAAATTATATTGGGGGGGGAGGGTGGGGGGGGTGAAAAAATATAAATAAATTAAAAGCACCATTTAAACAGAAAACAACAACAAATCTAGGCAATTCCAGTGCTGAGGGTTGAACTGTGCTCTCCAATAGTGCCTGCAGCCATGCACAGGCACCTCTGCACCAGACAGAGCATCAACACTGGGCTGTTAAAGTGGAACTCAGCTACAGCAGAGTTTAAATTAGTAAAATAATTAAAAGAAAATTCCTACATCAAACTCCAGAAACCCTCAAGTTTTGCTCAAAGGCACAATCTGACTTCTGCAAGTAGTAAAGAAATGGGGCTAGCCACATCGAGCAATCCAGATCTCCTGAGCTCCCATCATCAGCTCCTGCATAGTCTGCAGCCTCTCAGGTTCTGCTGTGTAACCCTCTGATCTCTCTCACAGGCTGGCAGAGTGACATCCACTATAACTCAGGCATTTCTCAAGGAGCAATAGCCAGTAACACTAAAAAGCCAGGAACATCCTGCCAGACAGTTGTAGCCCTAAGGGCAAAAGCACAGCATGCAAGACTGGTTCCTGTGTCCTCTTTTTTTTCCAGTGAAAACACCCAAGTTGGAGCTTTGGGAAAGACTAGGAATTCCTTCATATCTCATACGAATCAAACACTGGTGCAACTGAGCTGCAAGTATTTATACCTTAAGAAGTATTAGATGTTATATTTACAGATATTTTTCCTGTTCTGTACCTTCTAGCTGTACATGACCCAAAAGCCTGACCTTACAACACGCGTGTGCTGCAAGTTCAGCTCTCAATAGATGCAGCAAAGCCAGATGTGTTGGCAAATCGCTTTGGTCACAGACAAGACTGAGGTTATAGCCTCTTCGTCTCTTCCCAGTGCCAAGGGAAGACTAGACACTGGCCTTAGAATTTTGTTACTGCACATAAGCTTGAAAGCAGAAAATAAACCTACTTCTCTGCAGCAAGTTGATCAAGAAGATATACTTTGGGGAAAAAAAATAATTAATATTCTTAGGAATAATTTTATTCATTATTCATTTAGGAATCGTCCCCCTACGTACTACTCAACTGTGATTTGGTTGGGACAGAGAAAGTCAGTGAGAAAGCATAAGAACAACCAACCCTTTAGTTTCAGAAAATTATGCCCACATCATCCGTAGGAAGATGAAAGAGTCCCCATACAACAACTTGTTGAAATGGAAACATGTGAGCTGCATCTTTGGGGTTTTGGGGGAGTTGTTTTGAGGAAATATGGGGGTGGAAAGTAGCAGTTCCTCACTGTGGTTAAGGCGTCTCAGTGTGTGCTCCTGGGTCATCACATACTGCTTCATAGCCAAGAGTCGGGAAACTCTAGGAGCAGTATTGAGTATTAGCCTCTCCTTTTTACTGCAGTCAGGAGAGAAACCAGGTACCTCGTTAGTGCTCCTTCATGTGCCTTTCTACTCCACAAAAGGCAGTTTCTCTTTCCTTCCTCCTGCATTAGCCAGTTTCACATCAGAAAATGCAAGTCCTCACTTCCCTCCAGGAAGATGGCAATGTCATGCATAGCTGCTAAACATCAAAGCTGCAGCCTTGAGCAACACGAAGGAGGAATTGGAAAGGAGACAGAACACAGGTATTCAACATGTGGCATTCTACTGGCACCATAAAGAGGTCTAAATGCAGACAAATAGAAAATCACTTCCTTCTCCAAAAAAGCTTTGCTATCCACATTAAAAAGAATTACAAGAGAAAAAGGAAAGAAAAACTTCCTCCTACATCTTGCAATTAGAGCAGCAAGAGCTGTGATGCTGCCTGTTAATACATGAAAGCCCACTATGAAAGGGGAATTCACACTAATAAAGTCTCCAAATGAATAGTATGTATCCACAGTGATTTTAATAGTTCAGCTTTTGAGTCTTACACTGTCATCTGACATAAAAAGATTGTAACTGATTTATTAGCTACAAATATAAATTATACCTGGATTTTCTTTTTTCTTTTTTTTTTTTTTCAAGAATAAAAAAGTACTGGGTTTTCAATCTTTCAAAGTCAGAATCGCGAAGGGAAGGATGACAATCATGTGAAAGCTGTCGAGAGTATACAAACAGATCATTTACATGCAACATGAAATGGCAAGTCAGTAAAAATCGGACTCCTTCAAAACTGTTCAAGTTATTGTCATTTGTACCAATTGTACTAATACACCATTTGTCTTCAGATCCGCTCCCCTGGAAACTGGCAAGTCTTCCTCTATAATTCCACTCACTTTCCCATTTTCATACACAGAGCTTCCCAGAAATCTTTAATGGTCAGATTAGTTTGGCTGGTTGCTTTTTGGGTTGTTTCTTTTTTTCCACAGACACCATTTTAGTCTATTTATTCTTTGACTTTTCCTTTCTGGTGAACTGCAAGCACTTGTCACTCCTCAGTTTGCTGGAGAGAACAATCCCTCCCCTTCTCTTACATCATGTAAATGGTTCAGGCACAACAACCAGATTTTGTCCTTTTTGCTGGCTTGTAGTCTGTAATGTCTACAGTTTGCGGAGGTCCCTCAGCTTTCTGACGTACAATTATTGGGACTACCATGTCAAACACAGTTTCAAAGAGGTAGTCTACCTTGTATCCTGTTTTTGCACTGGTCTCAAAGCACATTTTCTCAGCTGCTGGAACATCCTTCTCATCTAGCATTTTGTATTTCAGTATCTTTTTATAGAGCGCAATCGCGTCCTCTGCACAGACTTGTTTTCGCACCTTCGAGCTGCAGCTGGCAACAGACTTCTCAGGTCTATTTTCATCCGGTGGCAAAGCGCAGTCATCGGTGAGGTCAACTTTATTTCCAACAATAGCAAAAATGCAGTCAGCACTCGCACTGTCCGTCAGCGCCAAGAATCTTTCTTCCAGCTCTGTCAGGCTTTGGAGGCTGTTCACATCATACGTGAGGATCACAGCAGCTGCTCCTCTGCAGTACATAGACCCGAGGCCATGAAACTGCTCCCGTCCTGGCAAAGGTTTAAACATAACAATAAGTCAGTGTGCTGCAAGCTATGTTATTAACTAAGTGAGAGAGTTAAGGGAATTTTAAGCAAATTTTGCCAATTTGGATGGAGCAGTGAAGGTAAAAAAAGTGTTATTAGTAGCATTTTCAGTT